CATAACAGTCAATCAACTCGTGATGGCGTGCGTAAAATTTAGAAAGGGATGATTTCAACTTCACCACTTGGAACTCTTGGTTTACTAGCTTCCTTGTGAGCAGCAACTCTCCATCAATGAAATCATGATAGGAAATACGTGTACAAGCCCTGGGTTATATCGTATCAACTGGGATATATATATATATACAAAATCAGAATTTTAAGAAAACATTTATATCTTCGTTGAATATGCTATTCCAAATTGATTCCTTTTATCAAATTTGCAATAAATAACTTAGCATTTGTAAAAAGAATGAAAAATTCTAGAATTTTTTTTAGACTTATACCTCGAATTTGACATAAGCAGTCATCTCAGTACCAGAATCTCAGACAGTATTCAAGAGCTTGCAGCTGCTACTCAGACTTTATAAAACGTCACCAGTGTCTGAGCAGAAAGTTCATGAACCAGGGTTATGTCAAAAAACGTCTCGTCCTTTTTCTAAAAAAAGTTCATTGGAAGATCATAACCAATACCTCGTTGAGAAATATTCAGTATCAACTTCACAAATATTACATGATGGTCTTGCAAGTATAAATTCTAGGTATTGACTTTATTTATCATCTTAATTACGTGTTATAGTGTGTTTTTTGGTGGTTTTTTTTCTGTCTTTGTATATTTTAACCTTTACTGTTTAGTTCATTTTCGGTAATAACCCTTTGACTTAGCTCAGTATTTATACAACCCGCCATTGTATTATTGTGCTATGGTCTTTTTTTTTGTATTTTTGTCTTTCATTTTTGCTTATGTGCTTTAATTGTTTATAGAGTACCTATATGCCATTTTGTGTTTCTTTGTTGGCATAGTTGTTTGTTTTTATAGTGATTAAGATTATAACACAATGTTGACTGCTGTACCCAAATTTTTGACATTTTTGACATTTTTACCTATTATGTCTGTTTGTTTTCTCACACATTGTTGTCAATATAATGGGTTTTTTATGCGATAAGTGAGAGATTTAGTTAGCTATAATCCACCGTTTTCTACATAGGAAATGCCTGTACAAAGTCAGAAATATGAGTTGTTTTCCATTCGTTTGATGTGTTTGAGCTTTTGATTTTGCCATTTGATCAGGGACTTTCCGTTTTGAATTTTCCTTGGAGTTCTGTATTTTTGTTATTTTACTTGTTTCTACTTATGACTGAATTTTTAATGAAAATTGGTAGTTAGGTATAATATGCTATTCCAAATTGATTCACTGTGTCCGTCTACCACCATTTTTTAAATGGCTGCCATAATTACATTAAAAAAAATCATACTCCTCTCGGATTTTATTAATAAACTTAATATTTAGCTAGAACATGTCCTAAAATTTATAAAATTAAAAATACATGTATTGCTTTGTTTGTATCAAAATGAATAATTTGTTTTTCTTCCACTGGTGTTGATTATGTATAATTTATGTTGGTTGGTTGCTGTTTCAATGATATTAATCCTCAATCTATTCACATATATATAAGAGCTATATAGGAATATATAGATGGAACGATTGATATCTAGGCCTAAAAAGACCTTTTTATAGTGGTGGGATGTATCAAAAGCAATATTCCAAAACATAAAACCACTGTGCAAACAGTGACCTCCTCTAATTCTATAAGCAATTCTCACTTCTCAAATGTTCCAAAGGCAAAGTTCATTTCATTTAGGGCAATAAAGATAAAAAAGGAAAGGAGTTTAAATAAATCACGTCATACTGGGTAAAATTATATTCTTCATACTCTTAATATCAATTATTTTCATATTTTGCCAACTTTATTTATTTTGATCTGGTATCTTTTGACCTCTTTTGGATCTTAAACAGTAGGTATCACTTTTCATATCATTCCATATATTATCCTCTAACCTATCATTTGCATTTTGTTTTTCAATGTTCAATACATAATCTTCTTGTATGTTAATTTCATCCGGTTTTTCTGTATCCAATAAACTGATCTCAAGTCTATCCAGACAAACATTACAAGATTTTAAAGGCCTTACTATCAAATCACTTGGAATTGATTGACAGGAAGATTCCATAAAATTTGGTGATACTCCTCTGCTTACAGAACATTGAACACTTTTATCTTCAGTATAGTAAGACACTGGCATGGGAGATGTAGATGTATCAATATATTTTTTTAAATCAGTTTGTGTTTCAGAAGCATGCATGACTGCTTTTGAGTTTGAGATATTATTGATACCAGTGTTAAGCAGATCAACTGGAGTGAAGCTGAATTCCTCATCAGAAGAATATTCTGATAGTTTACCACTTTTGTTTTTACTAGTGTTACAAATAAATGCTGGAACAGGGCTGGCTTCAAAAGAGTTATCAGTGATTTCATTGCCTGCATCATCTTGAACTCTAGAAACCAATTCTTTCAATATTTTTGTTACAATCTCTTTATTTACTTTTTCCTGTTTTCCGTCTGCTGTCAGAGATAAAATTTCCTAAAAAAAAGTTGTATAAAATATATATGTTTAAACCTAGATATAGTCAAGAATTAACCAGGGCACTTCAAAATAAATCAATACACATTATGTAATCACTAATGCAATTACATTTATTAAGAATTCCTGATCTTTCTTTGTCCATCACCTATGACTTTTTTATTTAAACTGTTGAATACATTTCATGATCTCACAAGATTCATAAATTGCATCAAATGTGGATATAACTGAGTATAGGTTCATTACAACCTTTTATCATTATACAATTAAATAACTTTTATTTCTTATTTATGTTCCAAACATAGATATTAAATACAATAACTGCAAGTCCATGTCATTAACAAAAGACATATGAATTGCTTGAAAGACTTAAATGGCAAATTTGTTTTCAGTTAATTGTGCTATTAAATAGAAAAGTGATTTTACACTTGACTGATAAGAAGGCTCTGTGCATTGATTTCAGGTAAATGTGCAATTAGGTAGCAAAATGGTTTTCCACTTGACCAATCAGCAGGATATGTGCAATATAAAAATGGCACTCAAATCATACCACTTGATCAATGGTGCATGTGACTGGCTGCTAGCTTGTAGACATAGGAAATTTTGTTGATCAAATATTAAGTAATTTGACTGAATCAAAAAATTAAAAACTTTGATTTATAAGGGGAAATAACTTGAATTATTCAGTATTTTTATACTTTATTACAAAATGTAAGTACAGTGAACCCATTGTTTCTTTTTATTTTCTGAAAACATTATATTTTACATGAGATTCTTTTCATTTTTTATTCTAACTATTATTTAGTTGTTTTTCAAGTCACATATCAGTGCTTTTCTTTCATGAATAATCCTAACAAAATATAAGAAATTTGCACAACACATAGCTTAACAATCAGCTAGGTCACATATACTTTTTAGCAAATTTATGAAAACAACACACTATACACAACATTAGGACAGATTTCTAAAGAATAAGCTTAATTTAAATTGAAATATCCTAGAGCCTCTACAATTAACTAAACTACTGCAAATCAGTAAATCAATTCACATATTGTAGCAAAAAAAATTAAATTTAGCAAGTACATGTCATTTTGATATGCATGAAAAACAAATAAACATTCTGTCTTATGGACATGACAGGAAAAAAAGCCAATGAACATGGGTAAGGTACATTTTCTCCTTTATACTTTCTTGAGAAGGACTAAAATAAAGTACTTCATACATCAACAAACTAATAAACATTTCTTTTCACAAAGAAAGATGAAAATCTATAAATCTTACTTTCTGTCATACCCTTTAATTTTTTTTTCAAATTGTAGCTTCCCATATGCTAATTCCAATTAAAATTTTTCAGATCAAAAAATAAAAAATGCTATTATATAAAATATCATTTAATTACTGTAAATTCAGAAATAATTGAGTGCATTTATTATTGCGATTTTTGAAAGATGGACAAAATTGCGAGATTAATTATTGGGATTTCAAGAAACTCTACATACAGATATATAAATATCATATATCAGAATGCAAGTTCTTATTATTATGATACTCACTCAGTCATATTATTCGCAAACATAAAAACCTCGCAATAATTTCTGAATTTACAGTAATCATATGCAAATAAATCAGATGCCAATAAAGATAATAACAAAACAAATTATTTTTAAATGAATTACAAAGAATTTTACAAAAAGTTTCCTATATATGAGGTTCATGCAACTATACATCATGTTAAATGAAATACTTACTGTAGTTTTACTAGCTTTTTCTATATTCTTCTTTTCAAGAGATTCATTTTTGCAAACTGTTAATGATAGAAATTCAAATAGATTTTCTAATTCAAAAAAGAACAACAAAAAAGAAAATCTTTGAACTCTAACAGGAAGATCCTTTATGCCAAGCCTTACAAAATATTGAAAAAGTCAAACAAACAAACAATTTTGTTCATTATTTGTCAGACCTTTAAATAATATGTCAACCCATTTAAATTACTTCGTCATTAAGTTTTTTTTTAGTTAGTTTGCTTGACTACTGATGCTTAACATCTGTTTGATTGTTGTCTGTAAACATCTTTTTACATCCTTGGCTTCCAAATTATTTGGTTTCAGTATCCTGATGAAGGTAAATCCAGAAAAATCACACAAATTTAAAAAAATGTTTTTTTTTCATTTACAGTTTGAGATTATTCTTTGCAATATATCATAATATAAATATCATGAATACCATAAAAAAGTCTCCCTCCTTTTGAAATTGCTATATGTTTGCATATATTTACAGAAGATAATAATTCACTTGTACTTCACAGGAACCAGAAAAGTCCTATCCTATAAATTCTGGAACACTCTGAACATTTACTTGTATTTATATTCTACAAACATTTTGTTTAATAATTTATCCAATCATACAATAGTGATAACTGTTATGGTCTGGATTTTTTTTTGGATACACTTATTGATACTTTAGTCAGTCTTTTCTTACTGCATAAAGTACAACTTGTAACTATCCATAAGTTTAAAAATTTACCATCAATCTCCTCTCCATTTATGAGTGCCTCTTCTATATCAAATACGTCTTCTGAACCGTCTTGTTTTTCAAGTTCTGTTAACTAAAATAAAACAAAATTTTACGTTTTACTTGAAGTGTCATTCCAACTAGTTCTTAAATTCACACATATATATAATATTCCTAATTTCAGAATATCAAAATCACCTGTGTATGAAAGCTCGATCTTTTCACTACTGTAAATTCAGAACTTTTTGCGATGTTTTTATCATTGTGAAAATTGCAACAGAAGCTTTTTTCAGGTTTTGCAAAAATATATACAGGATTTCATAAAAATTGTTCAATAATCACAAAAATAGATGCATGCAATATTTTCTGAATTTACATGTATTAAAATCTGTAAATATAGACCAACAAATCAGAAACTCCAGAACTCTTCAAAACCAAAGGGGGATAACTTCAAAATCAACAAGAAATGATTGTAACAGGATGCTGTTACGAAGTCTCCCAAACGAAGCTCCCATAATTCGTAATTCCCAGGGTCGCCTGACATTGGGCCACATCCAGTGAAAATTGGTTTGGTCCAGTAAAGTTATATGCATAAGTGATGCCTGGGGACTAACCTTGTATATCATTCAAATCATCTTGGCATGACAAACCAGAATATATATGGTTTAGGGATGGGGATCTCGACCATTTACAAGATACTAGAACATTGGGGGTGGGGAGGAACCCCTGGGGACTGGCCCTATACGTCATTCAAATGTTCATTACATGAGGAACAGGAATATATATGGTTTAGGGGTGGGGATCTCAACCATTTACAAGATATAAGAACATTGGGGGTGGGGGGAACCCCTGGGGACTGACCGTATACGTCATTCAAATGTTCTTGACATGACAAATAGGAATATATATGGTTTAGGGGTGGGGATCTCGACCATTTACAAGATATTAGAACTTTCTCAAATGGCAGGGGGTGGGGGTGACCCCTGGAAACTAATCCTGTATTTCATTTGATGTGCTTTATCATGACAAACCAGAATATATATGGTTTAGGGGTGGGGATCTCAACCATTTACAAGATATTAGAACTTTCTCAAATGGCAGGGGGTCGGGATGACCCCTTGGGACTAACCCTGTATATCATTCAAACCATCTCAGCATGACAAACCAGAATATATATGGTTTAGGGGTGGGGATCTTGACCACTTACAAGGTATTAGAACTTTCTTAAATGGCAGGGGGTGGGGTGACCCCTGGGGACTAACCCTGTATTTCATTTGATGTGCTTTATCATGACAAACCAGAATATATATGGTTTAGGGGTGGGGATCTCGACCATTTACAAGATATTTGAACTTTCTCAAATGACAGGGGGTCGGGATGACCCCTGGGGACTAACCCTGTATATCATTCAAACCATCTTAGCATGACAAACCAGAATATATATGGTTTAGGGGTGGGGATCTTGACCACTTAGAAGATATTAGAACTTTCTTAAATGGCAGGGGGTGGGGGTGACCCCTGGGGACTAACCCTGTATTACATTTGATGTGCTTTATCATGACAAACCAGAATATATATGGTTTAGGGGTGGGGATCTCAACTATTTACAAGATATTAGAACTTTCTCAAATGGCAGGGGGTCGGGATGACCCCTGGGGACTAACCCTGTATATCATTCAAACCATCTTAGCATGACAAACCAGAATATATATGGTTTAGGGGTGGGGATCTTGACCACTTACAAGGTATTAGAACTTTCTTAAATGGCAGGGGGTGGGGGGTGACCCCAGGGGACTAACCCTGTATTTCATTTAATGGGCTTTATCATTTAGAACATTTTCAATTAAAAAGATTGTGTCTATCACAAACGGTTTTCAATTTATAATCATTTGAAAATTTTAAAAAATAAAATCCCATAGGGTTCTATAGTAAAACCCTCTTTTCTTTTTGCCCCTCAAAGTACCCCTTTATAAACCCCATTGCACAAACAAAACCCTGATTGCACCACTAGACATGTTAGTCTAACATATTGTGAAACCCTAAGTTAATCTGACAAGCGGTTTTGGAGAACGGGTGCGGACAAGTTCAAATTTAAAAGCGGCGGAAGAAGAAAAAGAAGAAGAAGAAGAAGAAGAAGAAGAAGAAGAAGAAGAATAATAATAATAATAATAAGAACTGAGCAAAAACAATAAGTCTTCCCAAACTTCGTTTGGGAGACTTAATAACTAAAGGAACACATAGGATTTTTCAACTTTATAATGATCAAAATCCCATCACTCTGGAAGACACACCACAAACTTGTTAACTTCATATACCTGCTTCAAACATTGTGTATAAAAAATCTAAATCTATGAAAGCAATCATATAATATTAAAACTTATAAAGCATCATGTGTCATAGAAAGTGCTTTCTGAAAATGTATAAAAGAGGGCTTTTATAAACTTTGAATAAATTTTTCCTGATTTGAATACTGGATGTTATAAAGAAAATTCAAATGAGTCATTTGTTCAAAATTTAACAAACAAGCCATATCAATAACATAATATTTTCAGGGGTAAAAAAAAAGGGTATAAAATTATTATAAATACTTCTTCAAGCACTTCAGCCATCTGAGAATCTGTACTGCCTTTTCCCTTTATACTAAAATACAATATGAAAATGAGCTAGAATTGTCATACATCTTTTTAATTATATTAAAAAAACTATTTTTCAAGAAACTTAAAACTTTATGATATAAAATTACCAGGAAAGATTTTAGTGGAAAAATGCTTATTCTGTGCATATGTTAATACTTGTCAACACATCCAGTTCTTTTTACTTAGCTGTATCCTAAACCTATCTGGGAAATTTTTCCCATGAGTATCTAGTAAAGTGACAGTGAAATGACATTTCTATCATTCTTGTCTGACACTGTGCGAATTCTTATAAACCTCCAAGCCATTACCAAATTTCTTTCTATACTAGCCCAGATCAGTTATATGTCAATGAGATATATTACATATATATTTAGTAATCAATAAAAGAAATATACACTGATCTTTAAATAGACTCTCTGTTGAAATTGTGATAAACAACTAATGAATTAAATAAAAAAATAACAAGCTCATGCAATGTAATTCTATTCTGTCCATTTTCTGAAAATACCACAAAGAAAAGTCAAAAATAAAACAACTAGAACAAAGCAATACATAATCAAAACTATAAGATATTGTCAACACAATACACTAATACAAATCAGGATCCAATCTAGAGGGAGGAATAGGTTACTAAAACCGTCTTCTAATTTATAATCACTTCTCCCATTTAGTTTTGGGACCTAGTTTTTATGAAGTATTTTACTAGCAATACAAGAGGCAGTCAGATTGACAGCAAACCAGATTTTCCTGCATGAAAATGACATTTTCAAATCAGGACCACCAAACAGGATCAAGTAAAACAAATTCAAGGAATTTTTGTATGGTTCAGAAATAGAAAGGCCAAATATCATGGGTTTCTAGATTAGTACCTGAAGCAAACAATACACATCCTTACTTTTCTCCTCCTTAAAATAAGAATATATTTAAATAGTAAATAATATAAATAACAAAGTAAAAAGGTTGGCATTGCCAACAGTTGATCCCTGTAAAACATAAATATTAGAAGAAAACAAAATGTGTATTATATAAAAATAAGGAGATGTGGTCTTATTGCCAATGAGACAACTATCACCAGAGATCAAAAGATGAGGAGGTCATGTATGATCTATGATAATTTCCTTGTACAATGAGCATTGTAAAATTTCAAACTATTGGCAAACAGGAAGTGGCTACACGGCAGATGTAAAAATTGCTTACTCGCTTCAATTCAATATTATCAAGCTGCAGACAAAATATTAAATCATTCCCTTTCATGGAAGCTGAGAAAACTTTCACAAAATCTTTCTTTCGAACAGACGGACAAGACAAATGGACATAGTTGTGCAGTTACTAGACTTGGTGACGCAGCTAAAAATGTGACCAAGCAATCACTAATTGTCCCTATATAATTTTTTTTCTGGCAGTATAAAGTCAGATATCTAGAAACCAAAATTGTTATAAATGATTTCTGCAAAATACAAATTTTTACAAGGTTTACAAAAAAAAACACCTTTTGGAACCATCTGCAAGGTCTGGGGGAGATGCCAATAACATTGTTTAAAATTTTATAATTATGAAAATTCAAAATTCGAATTCTCATATTCATTCTCAATTATCTTATGAAACATCTCAAAATTCTTTTGATCTTTAGATGAAGATCACATGAAAATAGTTTGCTGAACATCATCTGTGCATTGTGTTACGAAACATTGCATGTATTGCAAATTATGCAATTACCTTCTTTTCCTTGATGGACTGTACTATCAGATAACTCTTCAGGACTTCTCCTTAAACCTATCTTCATTCCGATCTGTAAAAACAATGTTTACTTTTCAAGGCATGTATTTAGACTGATTCACTGTTTATAACACATGATACACTCATCATCATCATTTTTATCATGAAATAAAAGATGATTTGCAATGAATAAATTAGCAGACTTTTTTTTTATTAAATTTTTTCTGATGGACGGACAAAAGAATGTAATAATATATGATGTTCAAATCATTTATAAAATCACTTATATTATTTCCTCTTTCAAAGCACTTAAGTTTTAAAGTTAAACTTGATTACCAAGTCCCTATCCAATCTACACTTGTCTGTGTTTTCAATTCTATAATCTCTAACTTGGTCATCTGGAAAAACTGTTGCTTCACATGGTGAACAATTCTCCAAATCATCTGAAGTCCTGAAAAACATAATTCATCTAAAGAAACCAGAAATCAACTACTCCAGGTATGTATGGTTATAGAAACTAATTTATGCATAACAAAAGATCGAAAATTGAAAAGTCAAGCTCATAGAGAGTTCATAAATATATTAACACACCACCCCAGCTGTTGCAGTCAAATGTCAAATATCAAAAGCCAAAGGGTAAGGTCAAAATTTGACTTTTAGATGTAGTTATAATGGTACATGACACTTTTATATAAATGATAACACATCCACTTTAAAATATGCTAGGTGAAACAATAAAAAATTTCTATGAACTAGTGGATCCTGATGATTAGGATCCACTTGAGCGATGGTACACAATATATAAGACGTGTGGAATCTGCAAGCCATTGAATAAATGAATCTTAAGTCTATTTGAAAAAAGTTCTGAGCTAGATTCCATTATTGTTACATAACATACACATTCAAATGTCACTAAAGGAATTGGACCCCATTACTGATAGTAAACTACTACATGAAAACTACAGGATTTCTAGAGGCTAAGAAATTTTGTAACACAATAGGCCTATTCAGGTTCACTAATACAATTCGTAGATAAACACATCAAACTAGATCTGATGACTTTATATAACCACAAAAAAATAAAAGCAATAGTTCTGTATGGTCTTTCCCTTTGTGAGGGCAGCAAACAAAAACTTCTCAAATGAAAATATAAAACTGTATGCACTACTACCTACAACTGACCTTGACTTTCCTGATGCTTCAGAACATGCAACAGTATCTTTGTGATCTTGAAAATGATATAACTTCAAACCACCAGGTTTTTCCAGTACCAGTGATGAAATGTTCTGATCTTCCACAATATCTGGTATGTGCAATTGTTTTTTCAGCATTCTTCTAACATCTGGAGAAGCTTTGGTGGACATTTTTGGTAATGGTGTTGATGTTATTGGATATAACTGTGATGTAGAATGTGGAAAAGTAAATTTTCTTCTCTTCAACGGGGTTTCTATAAAATCAGAGGAACTGAATATTCTATTATGGATGTCTATTGGTGACTTGTCGTTCAAGGAACTCTTGTGCCTTTTTTGGGTGTTATTTGGTCTCTGTGGAGATTCAGACTCTTGCTGGTACTTCCTCAAAGGTGTTATCTGGAAGTCTTCAGAAACAAACATTCTTTTTTCTGAAGATTTTTGTGAGATATTTTTATCATACTTTTCAAATGCTCTTTTATGTTTACTTTTTGAATAATTTGAAGGTACATGAATTTCTGTTGTTCTTTCACAGAATTTTACATTCAGTCCATTACTTGACCTCTGTGAAGACAAAGATTTATCGAACTGAGCAATGGGTAGGTCATTGGAAGAGTCCTTGTGCAAGTTTTTATTTTTCCTATCTAATAGATGCTTGTGTGGGGTTGTGATCTGATTAATATTTTGTTGATTGTCTGTGTTAAATAATGAATATTTAAAACTATTCTTTTCACTCATGTATGATTCATGAAAACTTTCAAGCCTTGGTGTCTGAAAGAAAGAAGTAAAGAAAAATCATGTTACATTGTCATAAACTGTCATGCTCAATTTTGGCATAACATGAATTTTATATGAGATAATATGTTATGATGAAAATCTAAAATCTAACATATAAATAAATAAATTTCATAACTGCTATAAAGAGTGCTATTTTCCTCTCAAATATATGTATGTGTGTTTGTTTATTATGGATTTTCATTATAACATTCTTTGTTAGAAGCAAAAAACTTATTGAACAAAAGTGCTGAAGTGGTATAAATGCAATTATTGCCCCATAAAATGAATCTTTGACAAACTCCTTTTAGGTTCAGATTTTCATTGTACTTACAAAAGCCGCTCGTGTCATCTGCATGCACATTACAGCATTCAAAATATAACCAAAGAAATCTCTTTAGTAAAGAAACTACATTTTAATTTTCATTCAATTCCTGTCCTCTTATATAGGAAGACTCAAAGATTTATACAAGTCTCACTAATTTCATTTTTGTACGTCCCATCAATTAGTTTTAGGAATAAATAAAGAATCCCTGGACCAAGTTGATTGAAAAGACTTGAAACATAAAGGTCTGTATTTGGCCGCATATTCTGTAGACTTTTAATTTATTTACATTTGAAAGATATAATCAAATTGAAAAATGAAGAATTTCCATAGATTAGTTGAATTGTTGTTATAATAATACAACTAATTGGCAAAATTTACTAAAAAATACATTCAAAATATGATGGAAGTAATGAAATTTTATTTCATTTAACCAAAAAAAAGCATTTTTTATGACTTTCTCCTATCATTCACCTATAGATACTTGTTCATAAATGACCACACCCATTAAAGTTTATTACAATTGCTTTTTCAACTCCCTCTCTCTGTCCCATTCAAATGAAAAATCTGTTGTTGTCAAATTTTTATTCATATAAAATTATTTAAAATCTAATTTAGAAAACAAATAAATGTTGAATTATTCTAAATATGTAGAGAAAATGACTATTGTCATATATCACTTGTGACAAAGTGCAAGCTTATACTTTCAAATCACAATTGCTACTAACCTCAGGTTCCAAATCTTTATGCTGAAATTTGTTAGGAAAACTCCTGTCATAATCTTTAAACTGAAATTTCAACTTTGGCTCAGGCTGAAAATATAGATCAATATTGATAAAGCTAATAAATTAACATCAAGTCTAAATTTAAATAATCTATTTAGCTATCAAATGTTCTATTTTTTTTATGCCCCCGCCACAGCAGAGGGGGCATTAAGTGTTACTCTTGTCCGTCTTTACATCCGTCCGTCGATATGTATGTCCCAAAATTGGTTTCTGTTCTCTAACTTTAGATTGCCTCAACCAAATGTTATGAAACTTATACACAATGCTTATTACCACAAAATACAGATCACATTTGAATTTGGATGGCGTCACTTTTACCGTTCTCTAGAGTTATGCCACTTAACAAATAGAAAAATTGCTGAATTTTTCGTTTCCATTCTCTAACTTAAGTTTGCCTCAACCAAATGTTATGAAACTTGTACACAATCCTTATTACCACAAACCTCTGATCAATTTTGAATTTGGGTGGCATCACTTTAACTGTTCTTGAGTTATGTCCCTTTATAACATTATATGTAAGCAGGGCATCATCTGTGTCCCATGGACACATTCTACATTATTTTCATATTATTTACATCCATACTCTTACAACTTAAAGTGCAACTAATTTTCATAAAACTGTTTGCTTCAATTTTTATTCCAGAACTATTTGTTAAGTTATTGCAATCAAACATCGTGAAACAGCATGCTTTAGGTGAAATAAAATTAGATTTAATTTGTTTCAACAGCTAATGTTATACTAAAACAACTCTTTGTGAAATCAAATATAATTGACCATTCACAATAAAAGGAGTCCAAATTAGAACTCTGTCTGTGAGTTTTGGTTCTCAGCATTGTGGATGAGTTTCATAAATTTTGGATGAGGAAAAACCTAAGTTAGAGTGCAGAAATGAAAATGGGACAGATGGAAGGATGGTCAGATAGAAGGATGGAAGGTCAGTCAAGGGTTACACTTAATGCCCCCTCCACCTTGTTAGACAATTGCTTCTTATAGTATCTGAAAAACAGACCTTATTACAAAATTTGAACATTGACCAATGAAGCATGCATAAAAATGAGGTCAAGATCAGATTAGCACAGCCAGACAACATGAACACCATTCATTACACCAAATATAGTGGCCCTATTGCTTATAGTATCTGAGAAATGGACCAAACCAGAAAATCTTACAATTGTCCAATGAACCATAAAAATATGTCAAGGTAAGATGAAACATGCCAGACAAACATGTACACATTACAATCATTCCATAACCAAATAATGTTGGCCTCTTGCTTAAAGTATCTGAAAAACAGACAAAACTACAAAAAACTAAGATTGTCCAATGAACCCTGAAAATGAGGTCAAGGTCAGATGAAACATGCCAGTTTGACATGTACTCCTTATAAAACATTCCACACACCAAATATAGTTGACCTATTGCTTTTAGTATCTGAGATACAGACTTGAAAACATAAAATTAAACTTGATCACTGATCCATGAAATGAGGTCGAGGTCAGATGAACCCTGTCTAACGGATGTGTAGACCTTATAAGAATCCCTTAAACCAAATATAGTTATTCTATTACCCATAATAAGTGAGTATTTGTCATGACAAACAAACTCAAGATACTTGGCATGAGTAAAGTTTTATCCTGTCCAGTACTATAGAAAAAATTTCACATAACATTTCATTGCATATAAGAAAATAACCATCACTGGAAGTTAACCAATCAAATTTTCCCCCTTTTTTAACCAGTGTACAAGCTTTAGTAACCATGTAACCTCAAGTTTCCAAAATATTCTATAGAAACCCCAAATAAAGAAATAATGGTGCTTTGAAATACCCAAGATATATGTTTATGACTCAGAAATGTTTTACTGCAATGAAATGTAGGATCAATTACCTACAACTGTCAAATTCAAGGGAATATTTTTTTTCGACCTATTTTCATATGCAACCGGATGTGACGTACTATGATTTGGTGGTATTACACCTAAAGAAGACTTTTTTGTTGAATAAACTGAATGTGACTTTTTTCCTTTGTAATACTGGTTATTTCAAGTATTCCTGTCAAGTTTTGTCATAATCAGTTCAATAGTTTGAGAAAAATCTAATATAATGTAAGACGACATCTACAGCGATTCGAGCAAAATTTCTTCGAAAAATTCAAACCAAGCCGCATCATGATAGAATATAGTGTGGACCAATAAATGATCAAATATTTATCTCATCTGCCTACAAACAGTTGAATATGATACAAAAGATGACTTTAGGATGATAAATACTACTAATGGACCTCTTATTCTTCCTTATAAAGTCTCTTTTGGTCCATTTATACCTCTCATTTCCTCAAAATTTCTACTTTTTAGGCCAATAAATAAAAATTTTGGGGTAACTTTCACTCATTTATGATGGAAATGTTATTATAAATGATTAATTGAAGTATTCAAGCTGCTTGAACTATCCATATAAAAGTTTACTGTCTCCAAGGAGGTTTCAATAAGACCTTGCGTAAAACTTAAATTTACGCCGCGTTCCAGAGAGGGACATAAAAAACTTCTCTTTTGGTGAATAATTTGTTGTTACTGCTTTAAAAATAATTTCATTTACTTAAAACTATATATTTATTAAAGTATTTCTTAGGAAAAATTTTCTAGTATAGCAGAATATAAGAAATAAGGAGAAAAAGCTCCCCAAGACTCTAAGTATGGCTTGTTCTGTCAACTAATATTCATGGTAAAGTCCTATTTCAAGGAAATTTTCTCATAAAATGTATTTTGGAGACTCAATCCACTCAGAATATTTCATTATTTGTAATATTTCACTTAAATAGCAAGAAATTTTAACACATGAGAGTACTCACAAGGTCAAAGGTGCATGTACAGCTTCCCATATTAGGTGTAATACCACCATTGATTTTCCCCTATTAGTCTTTGTTAAATTTGCACTTTTCAAAAAATTGTGCAGAATTTATCTTTGTTTCAAATAAAGAAATACTTGGCATGAGTAAAGTTTTATCCTGTCCAGTACTATAGAAAAAATTTCACATAACATTTCATTGCATATAAGAAAATAACCATCACTGGAAGTTAACCAATCAAATTTTCCCCCTTTTTTAACCTGTGTACAAGCTTTAGTAACCATGTAACCTCAAGTTTCCAAAATATTCTATAGAAACCCCAAATAAAGAAATAATGGTGCTTTGAAATACCCAAGATATATGTTTATGACTCAGAAATGTTTTACTGCAATGAAATGTAGGATCAATTACCTACAACTGTCAAATTCAAGGGAATATTTTTTTTCGACCTATTTTCGTATGCAACCGGATGTGACGTACTATGATTTGGTGGTATTACACCTAAACACTGCATGCAGTTTTTGGTTTAAACCTATGAGGATCACTATGAAAATAAGAAGATGTGGACAGCTTAATTTCCACCACAGGCCAAATGATGGAGATGTAAGCAACTATAGGTCACCTTTGGCCTTCAAGTTTCAACAATGAGCAAAACCCATACCATATATTAGTTAAGCTATAAAACCTTTTATATGACAAAATATAAAACAATTCAAACGAGAAAATCAACGACCTGATTTATGTATAAAACAAGAAACGAAATGAAGTCCACCATCTCCTGCACTTGAAGACAGAACTCTACCATGTAACACCAAGAAAGTTTCCAGCATCATATTCATTTATAAAGTATCAATCAAAGTGAAGTATTGAATGGCTTACCTTCTTAAACTTGTATGGATTTGGACTAGAATATGGCTCAAACTTCACACTAGATTTACTTGTTTTCATATCAATCTGATTTTCTGGTTTTACAAATGATGACAATTCATTTGCCTCCCTAGAAAAATGTAATTATTCATACAAAGTATTCATAATAAACAAGATTACATGTTAGAATTATTTTGTATGATACTTCAGGTCTTCAGTGAGGAAATAACAAATAAATGCCACCTATTTTTCAAAGCCGAAGCAAATACATTACAGATGAAAAATGATCAAATTTATATAAAATCAAACAATGACATATTGACTTGTATCACTTGGTATCATAATTATACCATAGTTTGTCATACCATTGCTCTGTTCCTGGAATGACTTTTCTAGTTTTATTTTGATGTTTTTTTTTGTATGAATACGATTTGAAAAAGCAAATGTGAGGTAAACATCAATCAAAATTGTGTTGTAATGAAATGACATTTAACAAACTTCTACCATAATACGCTATTTTCTTTAAAAAATAAAAATGGACAAAAATAAGAAAACTGACATAAATTTACCATTCAAGAATACAAAAAATATATTTTCAAAAGTTTGTTTCAGACATTATCTCTTAATCATAAAAAAGCTTCTGCCAAAGTTTCATAAAATTGTATGAAGGTTTGACAAAGTAATTGATGTGTTACAAACTTTAACCCTAGACTGTATCTACTAGTTAACTGTAATAAACTAAGTCCATTTCTCAGTAAAATATGGAAAAATAAAAGTAAATATTTTCAACATTTTGCTCCGGATACTGTATTTTGGTCATTAACAAGCTTCTGTCCAAATTTCATAAAATCCCATGAAGGTTTGACAAAGTTATTGATGACTGAAAAACTTTAACCTCAGACTAAATCTGAATGTTAACTGTAAAAAAAACTTAAGTCCATTTATCAGTTAAATAAGGAAAAAAGAAAACAAATATTTTCAAAATTTGCTCTGGATACTGTTTTTTGGTCATAAACAAGCTTCTGTCCAAATTTCATCAAATTCCGTGAAGGTTTGACAAAGTTATAGATGTCTAAAAAAAAATTAACCATAGACTGAACCTACATGTTGACACTGCCAACACAGATGACTGAATCTAGGATCGCTATATGTCTCGCTTTTGCGACATAAATGTTGCAGGCTTGGCAAAAATGAAGCAACCAACTTATACCTTACTACGATATTTCTCAAAATATAAAGACAATATACTTTTACCATAATATGTTATTTCACAGAATAGTAAGGCAACAGACTTACATAAAATCATCTGTTGTCAAGTTTCCGAATCTAGAATTTTCATTGTCTTTTGAGACTTTGGATTTGACAAAACTGTTTGAATCCAGTATCTAATTCGTACAAAAGTCCCCATAATTAATGTGATCAAGGTCGGAAAGAGAAAAATTCAAATTAATATAAAAAATAGATTTCTTGTCATAAAATTCTCTCTCAGATTTGTCCACTATTTGTTTATGGCTGTAATTTTCCTCGTCGTCACCTAGAATTGGGTCTTTGCTTGAATATCTTAATCTTCACATATTTGTGTAATTCAAGCTAATGTCTGTTTCTATGTCACACAACATATCAATAACATCTAATTCTTTGATCATATTTTGATCGGAAACGTTATTGGAGGAAATTATGAATGCATCCATCATTGTCGAAGATTCTGCCATTTACGAATTTAGTGCTATTTTAGAAAATGGGAGGGGTTTTCTTTGTTAGGAACAGAAAGGGAAAATTTAACTGAGGCCACCCTGAACAAATTCTTTGTTTGATGTTGCCTACCCATGCCTTGTAGGGTTGGGTAGTTAGGTAGGGATTTTATTATTTTTTTTGGCCAACAACATATTACAAAAAAGGTACGTGTTTTAGACAAGAAAACGACATTAGAGCATGAAAAAAACTTTTTAAAAAATTGAAACTATTTGTGTCATAAAATTTTTAGGGTAGGCTTCTTTTTAGGTGGGTAGGAAGGCAACATAAAAAAATATCAATTTTATTTTTGGCCCTTTTCTTATAAAAAAATATTTTCAAAGAAAAAAGGAATAATAATATGCAATGTATATTTTTAACAGCAAAAACTGTGATAGGTTAAAGCAGATATTTTATATTTTTTTGAAAGTTTTGCAGTATTTCGTAAATTATACTATAGTCTTTAGCGAAACCCCTCGGCAACACCACTCAAATTTGTCTTGTGGGGTTATTGCAGGGGGATTCACCAAAAACTATGGTATAATTTACAAAAACACTGCAAAACTATCCAAAAGATATGAAATATCTATAACTTAACAGATTATGTATGAATAATGTGTTAAGAGTCTTTGAGATTAAGGTCTATCTACAGGAATCATTAAAATTTAAAATTGATCAATGAACCATGAAAATGAGATCAAGGTCAAGTTATCCATATTAGATGTACCTTACAATGATTTATTGACCAATTATAGTTAACATATCACTAAATTTAGAAACTGAGCTAATAAAAAAAAATTAACATTGTTTATGAAACAATAAAAATTAGATCAAGGTCAGATGAATCAAATTAAAAATAGTCTTTTGTAGCTTACAATGATTCAAGGCACCAAGACATTTTTGAATTTTTACCTATAGTTCTTAAAACAAGAGGCTCTAAGGTGCCTGTGTCTGACACTCACCTTGATCTATGTACATCTTCAACAATGACCATTATCTTACACTGTAGACTACAATATAATCCATGACTCTTTTTGTTAATCTTGTAGTGCTGATTTTATTTTCTGTTAAAGTTACTCTCTATCAACTATAGTTTTTAGTTTTTGCCCCTCCCCCCCTCCCCCCCCAAAAAAATAAAGGTCTAAAAAGCCTGTTTCACTCACCTGAATCTTCAACAATGGCCACTTTTTATTAAAAATCATCCTTAAAGGGGAACAACTCTATTAAGAGATAACTGTCAATTTCAATCATGTTGACATATTTGAAGATCTTATCCTGCTGATAATTTTTCCTTCCTAAAGTTTCTATGAAAAAAAAATGTAAAAATTATCATTAAAGGGCAATAACCCCAATAACGAGTCCACTGAAGATTTCAACCATTATGGCTTATTTGTAGATCTTGTCTTAATGATCATTTGTGCTATTTACAGTTTCTATCTATACAGTTTTTAAGATAATAAGCAAAAATGGAATTAAATGGGAAAAATCATCATTAATGGGCAATAACTTTAATAAGGAGTCGACTTACAATTTTAGTGATGTTTGCCTTATGTGTAGCTCTTATCTTGCTGATAATTTTTGTTTTTTAAAGTTTCTATTTATCTATTATAGTTTTTAAGATATTAGACAAAAAAGCAAAAATTCGGTAAAAATTGTCATTAAAGGGCAATAACTCTAATAAGGAGTCTTCTGACAATTTTGGTTTTGTTGACTTATTTGTAGATCTTGTCTTGCTGGTCATTTTTGCTATCTAAAGTTTCTGCATATCTATTATAATTTTCAAGATAATAGGGAAAAAAAATTTAAAATGGTAAAATTCATCATTTGAGGGCAATAACTCCTATAATAAGTCAACTGACAGTTTTGACTTAAAAGAACAATAGTAAGAGCTCAACATTCTGAACTTTTTTGCTCACGTCAAAATTTCTCTTTTTATAGCAGTTCTCAAAACAATAAGCAAAACTTGCATTTTACCCCATTGTTCCATTTTTAGCCATGTCATCCATCTTGGTTGGCAGTTAGGGTCATCAGACACATTTTTTAAACTAGATACCCACATAATGATTATGGCCAACAAGTTTCGTTTAATTTGGCCGAGTGGTTTCAGAGGAGAAGATGTTTGTAAAAGTTAACGGACCATGATGACGACAACAACGGGCAACAGACTAAGGATGACGGACACCAAGTGAGCTAAAAGTGGGTAAAAATCGTCATTTAAGGGTTATCACTCCCATAAGAAGTGGACTGACAATTTCAGCTTTATTGACCTATTTGCTGATCATGTCTTGCTGATCACATTTACTGTTTACAGTTTCTCTCTATATTCTAGGTTTTCTACAAACACTAAAAGGTTGAAAACCATCATTTAAGGGCAATAACTCCGGTAAGGAGTTGACTACAATTTCGTCTATGCTGATTATATTTGCCTTTAAGTTTCTCTCTATCTGTTATAGTTGACTGAAAATTTCTGCAATTTGACAAATTTGTAGATTTTGTCATGCTTATCATGTTTTGCCAAAAAGTTTCTCTTTTTATCTATTATAGTTTTCAATTATAAATGCAAAAGATTGGTTAAAATTGTCATTTCAGGACAATAACTCCAATAAGAAGTCGATTAAAGATTTTGTCCATTTGTAGATCTTGTCTTGCTGATCATAATCCTTGCTGTTTACAGTTTTTCTATATAGTTTTTTTCAAAAATTGGGTGAAAATCATCATTACACTAAATCCTAACTAGTTTACTGGCTATTTCACAGATGTTAAAGAGTTTGTAGATCTCATCTATTTGATCATTTTTCTGTTTACAGGTTTTCCTTGACCTTATCTATTATATTTTTGACCAAAAATAAAAAAGGGGACAATAACTCCTGTAAGGAATTGACTGATGATTTTGGCCAACTCTGGTTCCAATTGGCCCAGTTGTTTCAGAGGAGAAAACTTTTGTAAAAGTTAAAATGACTTATAGACGCCAAATTCACTTCATCCTTTGGGTCAAGTGAGCTTAACAACCAACATTATCATAACTATTCAAGCATGAAAATAAGGTCATGATCAGGTGAACAAATAACCAGACAGACATATCAACCTTCCAATGATTGTATAGACCAAAGACTGCTGACCTTTTATTCATATTAACTGAAAACTATTATCACGTATCACAAAAACTTTATATTGATCAATGAACAATGATAATGTGGTCAAATCAAGTGTCAATCCTGTCAGATTGCATTTGATATGACTGTATTTACAGTGCTAATTATATATGATGATGTTTCTTTAATTTTGTAAGTGAGCATGAAAAATTAAGTTTTTAACAGTCCAAATATAGTCTTTCTAAACTAAGGGTTCCATTTAAAGCTGACTATGAACTGCTTTCTTTTGCCAACTTTATTTCACTTTGGTTAAATTGTACATACTTTGTCTCGTACTTTGGTTCATTCAAACTGATTTTTGAAACAGATGATGTAGGTGATACAGTTCCAAGATTAATATCTTCTACCATACGAGAAAATGCAGGCTTGAAAACATCCAAATCGACTTTTTTCACTGGTCTTGATGTTGTATCACATCCTACTAAAACAAAATTTTCAACTTTTTTACCTATTTTTATTCTTTATATGTACAAAATTAAATTTGTTCATTGACGAACACAATTTATTATTTTTGTTCAATAATTTGTAAATATAAAACAGAGCCTTTATCACCTAATACACAAAATATATAGCGAGAGTTGGGTCCTGATGCAGCATGTAACTCTTATGATCAATCAATCACTAAAACAGCTTAAAACAGCACAATTTATTATTTCTTATATATTTAAGAAAATTTCTTTTCTTTTTTGTTTTGTTTTAGTTGTCTCTTCTGTGAGTGTATTGTCCTGAACATGTATGAAATATTTGCCACTGGATGTTAAGCAACCAATAATTAATCAATCTTCTAAGAGTGCATGATTTTTTTTTTATTTGCTCAAAGCCTGACAAAGGTTGTTTTTTTAATAATTTTTGCTACCCAGATCAACTGGCATTACTTGTTCAGTGTGATGTTGAACATGCAACCATTGCTTCTTGTTGTCGTACATCTTGAGTGTTTTTGTTTTGTTTTTTCTTTCAATTTTTGAGTTGATGGCAGACTGTGTGGACACTTGGATAATTAAGAACTGAAATTGACATAATTCATGGACATTTTGTCTTCTGTTGGAGATAATAATTGTGTAATTGTGTAATGCAGGGCTTCCAAAAAAAATTTGAGCCAGCCGAACATTTTTTTTTTTGGTCTCATCCCGATTTTAATCCTTTTTAAAGACTTAGTAACAAAAGGAAACCAATAGTAATCAGTTTGGCATCATATAAATTATGATTGACACAAAAACGGTATTTGACTTGACTTTTTAATATAAATTTCGATGTTCTGATGTAAACTGTTAAATTGACAGTGCACCATTCGAAGTGTGCAACATCAGCTTACTAATATCTGCCGAAGACTCGTTATTTGTGCAAAAATAACGCTGTCATAACTTCAATTACGTTTTTGAAAAGTACACTTACCTCATACCGGATGTTGACTTGACAATGGTAAAACACGGACCAGAGACGGATACGTAAAATCCGTGTCCGTTTCAAAGCACGATTGAGTTATTAAAGTAGCTCTTTCCACTTTATTTCTATAGGAAAAACTCGAAATGAACATTAGATAAAGGTATCAATGATATTTTTAGCATTTTTGAAAAATCGGATGCATAAATAAATCTCGCAACTGCGCCGCGCTTGCGCACAAGTGTACTAGTTTAAACAACATTGTTCTGACGATTTTTCACTTAAAACCTTTACAACTACCTTTTTAATTTTTCATCAAATAATATTCATATACGTTTTTTGGTAATATGAATCTTGTTAACTCAAATTATTTAGATGCAAACCGCTGAAATTTAAGAAAATAACTTTTATTAGACCGATCAATGTCCGGTACTAAATCTACCTGTCGCCTGAACAGGTAAAATAAGCTGTCGGAGAACTAATTTGCCTTGATTGTAATGAGAGGGTATTTAAGTAGGGTGTGTTTTGATAGTAATTATTCATCATGTCACTTTTATGACCGGAAATATGTGGCTGTTTAAAATGTTCAGGTAAAAACTGAGAAGATCGCATGAACTTCATTTTTTTTTCTGAACTATGTTATTAAAATGTCCGTTTCAGCTTCGACACAACAAGTCATTTATATAATTTATCGGACAAGTCCGGAAAATATGACCGTTTTGGAAGCCCTGTTGTGTAGCTGCCTCATCCCTTGACCTACTGTATATTCCTCAGTTTTCTTTTTTTTTCATAATCTTATGTACTTTGGTAAACTACCTTTATGATGTGAATGTGCTACATTAACTGTCTGAAAGGCTCTTAAATCCTGACCAAGTCCATGTTTTCTTATACCAGTTCCTCCAATGCTTCTGTAAACTTGGACTTTATCTGCAAATTTCTTTCTTTCAAAAAATTCCTAAAATGTAAAGGTATTAACTTCATATTTTTCAATCTAAGAAACATAATATGAAAAGGAGTAGGGGCAATAAAGCCCTTGTCCAAATATTAGTACAAATTGAAAAGTTACATTTGTACCATACATATTCTTACATTTCACATCATTTGTTTAAACTACACTAAGGTACAATTTAAGGTGTTCAGAAAATAAAAACAAATTTCACATACAACAAGTAAACATGGCAACAACTATGACAAAATGTGCATAATTTGTAAATTTTCTTGATTTTCCTTGTTTTACGTCAACTTTTAGGTACCGTAGTCGGTCTATATTAGAATGGAAAAGTATGTGCGTACCCAAGAAACAATTCTATATTTGGTAATAATATGTCAATAGTTATAATAAAGCTTCTCTTAAATCATTGTGTTGTTTCTTGCCTGTGCAAGATGTCTCCACAAAGGAAATAATGACGAAAAACTGCATCAGCTTAGCAGTTTTCTTTGTTTTCATGAAATTGGTACATTTTATGAAGTAATTGTGATGTCATCAGTCTTCACAGTAAACTTTTTGGACCACAGTCCCACACCCCATTTTTTTTTGGTATAAATTCTAAAGGCCTATATTAGACTAGTTTTCACATGCCCACCAGGAAGTTTACAAGCCTCAGGCTTCGGACTACTGCATGCATGGTTTATTGTGCATCATAACATCAAAATTTTTATGTAATTCATGTAAATAACATCTGTTACATTGTAGTCTTCAACTTTGAGGCTTTGATTAAGGTTCATCATAAATTTTATTCTAGTTTGATTTCAGGACAGAAAGAAAATGACTCAAAATAACTACCAGAAATGTCATAAAATAAAAGGTAGAGTCATTGATTTCCATATTATAAGTTTTCAGATTTAAATTTGCAAAGGGAAAATAGGGACTGTGATAAGACCTTGAGTTCAGACACAATATAAAGGGCAAACTTCAGAATATAAATATTGATTTATGAATAGAAAACATGAACCCGAGAACTTATTTTATAGGACAATATATATCATGTCCAGCCATGCCTTTAAACTTTCTTAGCACAGTTTTGTCTGTACCTAAGGACCATTCCCAGTCTGTACTTTAATTGAGTAAATTTTGTAGCCCAAATACCGCCATATTTGCAGACAGCTTATATTAAAAAATGAAATCACTTTATAAATTTCATGTGTTTGAGTCGCTTTTCTGGATTTTAGCCTTCATCAAGAATGCTCAAAGCCGCATATTTGAAAGCCAAAGATGTATAAGAACAGAAACAATCGAACAGCTATATGTACCAAATAGGACCTTTTTAAAAACAATCAAAAAAATATTGTCTTAGGGACTTATCATTTTTTACCTGGGAGGGGGGCTGGTCATTTTGAAATCATACATACAAAATTTCTTGACCCCCCATAATATTTCACTATTTTTATTTGATCCCCCCCCCCCGTAAAAACATTAAAAAATGTGATCCCCCCTCTATTATACATGCCAAAATTTTAACAGGCGAATCACTTACATGTATCATGTTATTTCAAGGAAATATTGAAAATGAAATATTCTCAGTGGATTGAGTCTCAAAACTTATTTGAGGGAAAATTGCCTTGAAATAGGGCTCTTCCATGAGGCCTCTTCCATGAATATTAGTAGGTAGAGCAAGCCAGTGCTTTGAGTAGCTTTTTCTGACTTTTTTTTCTAATTTCCTATATTGGGCTATTAAAGAAAACTTGATTCTGAGTATAACTCTGTAAAAAATATACATGAAAAAGTAAACTTTTTGAAACAGTAACAACACATTATTTATATGTCCCTCTCTTGGACGCTGCTTAAACTTGAGTTTTACGTATGGCCTTATTGAAACCTCCATTGAGTCGCTAAACTTTTATATGGACAGTTCATGCTTTCAGCTTGAACAATTCAGTTACTCATTTATTGTCACATTTCATTCTTAAATGTGTGATAGTAACCTCAAATTTTTGATTTATTAGCCTAAAAAGTACAAATTTTGAAGGAGTGAGAGGTATAAATGGACCCAAATGGCTCTTGTAATGAAAACAAAAAGATACATTGGCATTAATGCTTGTTAATTTAGTGATCGACGTGAGTAAAATATAACAACTGAATTATTCAGATTATTAAGCACTTATGCATTTTATATAGGACAAAATGACACAAAATGGCAGCTTCCTACATCACCAAAGTCTTGTGATGTCTTACTTAATTGTACCGGTATATGAATGGTGTTAAAAATATATTTAGATTTGACTCTTGTAATGTTCTTCTTGACATTTTGTCTCTTGAAGTATATGTGAACTACTTATTTGCAAGTGCAAAAAATATTGATCCCCCCACTTTGAATTTATTAAAAAAATTGAACCCCCCTTGTCCACATACAGAAAAAAACTTGATCCCCCCTGCATTTTGACCAGCCCCCCTCTCAGATAAAAAATGATAAGTCCCTTATTCAAGTTATTGTTGTGATTATTTCTGATAGATTATCATTGATAATCCAACAAGGAACTCATGTCAATGGTAATGTAAAAGCCTTTGGCTTACTTTGACCCGAAGACAAAGGTACAAAACTATAATAAATATCTGCCTTTAAAATACTACATATGTCCTAGCATAATATATATTGACCTCAGGCTTACAAGTTACAGATAAGTCACACTATGACAGACAACGAGGGGCATATAATAGCGATTGGTGGTGGAAATATTCTATTCTATATATTCTTGATATAAAAAAAAAGATAATCACACGCTGTAATTTCCTTTCATTTTGCGTTCGTATTCGACTTCTAGAGCCTCCCATCCAGTTCATTTTCAACACCGGCAAAGCAGACGATTGAAGCTCTTCTTCGTTGAAAACCAAGAACAGTACAAAGTTCAAAGTCTCGTATCACATGTGATCTGTCATGGAGGGCAAGAGGAGCAAATTTTCAGATTTTGGTTAAATTTTTACGTATTAATGATAAATCATCTGTTAACATTCAAAGAACAATGTCTAAAATGGCAAGATCGATTTTTTCTTCCAAAAGCATGCAGGAAAAGGTTGCTAAAGGAGCTCTATTAGCTATTATTCTTGCAATTGGTGCTAAAAAATTGTCTCCAAAATTGAGAAAATTATTATTTGGCTCGAAGAAACGGTCGATTTCAAAAAGCAAAGATTCTTTAGACGATGGAAATGGTTCTGTTAATGATAAGAAAGGAAAAGGAAGTTTGAACAAGGAATTTTACAGACAACTTCGTTATCTTCTGAAAATATTGTTCCCAGGGATATGGAGCAAAGCTTTTGGCATCCTTACACTTCATACTGGAACTCTAGTCGCAAGAACATTTCTGTCAATTTATGTTTCAATGTTAGATGGAAAAATTGTCAGAACTATTGTTAGACGTGATCTTAGGGCATTTTTACTTCAACTATCTCAATGGCTTCTTATATCCATTCCTGCAACATTTATTAACAGTTTAATCAGATACCTAGAGTGTGAACTTGCTTTAGTTCTCAGAACAAGATTAGTGAATCATGCTTATAATCTGTATTTTGACAATCAAACATATTACAGAGTTAGCAACTTGGACAGTAGACTTGCAAATGTTGACCAGTGTCTAACAGATGATATAACCATGTTCACTCAGTCTTTAGCACACTTATATTCACATTTAACCAAACCAATGCTTGATGTTACATTAATGTCTTTCACATTATACACACTTGCAAACAAAAGAGGAGCAAGTTCGAAATATCCCTCAATAATAGGATCAGTGGTTTTATACGTGACAGCTCAAATTCTAAAAGCAATATCACCAAAGTTTGGTAAACTTGTTGCAGAGGAGGCTAGACTCAAAGGAGACCTCAGATTTGTGCATTCAAGAGTAATTGCCAATGCTGAGGAAATTGCATTCTATGGTGGCCACAAGGTAAATGTACAGTTATCGTCATAATGTTTAAATATTAACATGATTAACTTGATTAGGTCGTCTTTGAATATTAAGTATGAACAGGGTTGCAGGCCAGTTCAAAATCTTGTCTGGCTAGTACATGTACAAGATTCCTTATTATTTATTCCTAAAACCACTGTAGGTAAATAGTAACATAGTAAGTTTCTTAGAAGCATGCTACATAAAGTACATTTATAAGATTTTGAATACTTTAGAAACTTATTAAAAAGTGAAATTTCAAACCCATATATTTAGGGTAACATGTTTATTAATCATATAGATAGCAAGATTAAAAAGTAAAGTTTATTTTTGTCACACAATTAATTTATTTCTTTATGTTATTGTCTACTGTCAATGACTGTTGTGATTATTTCAGATAGAGTTGAATCTTCTACAGAAATGCTATAAAAAATTAGCAGAACAAATGCATTTGATATTTAACAAACGATTGTGGTATATCATGTTTGAACAATTCTTAATGAAATATGTTTGGAGTGCCAGTGGTTTGATTATGGTAGCGATACCTATTCTTACAGCAAAAGGTGGTGGAATTAGAGCTGATGGTAAGTCTAAGATATCAAGCTTAAGATTTAGGGCACACCTCAATGAAACAGCAACCCAAAAACAATAACTTCATGGGAAAAAAACCAGCTACATTTACATGTACATGTCAACATACACTGTACAGTCCACTAGTTTTCTATTATATAAAGCTCTAAATCATATGATTACACTGTAGACAAAGAGACATATATAGTGAACAAATACAGTATAACAAATTTAAAATACACACATATATCTGGCATCAACATAGATAAATTTTAAGGAAAAACATGGAGATATATATACAAAGATAAAAACTGTCTTGGGACTGGCACACAAAAGTGTACTGTACATGTAGGTTAAACCAGTTTTTACCATCACCAGTGACATTCCTTAGCAGAAAAGTATGTGGGGGTGATGGCAACATTAAGGATTTGTATAAAGCTTTATATTTCAGGAAGCTGAAGGCCTGGATGCTTCATACATGAATCTCGTAAACATATGCTTTATGTTTCTGCCTGGCATATATCTGTTGTCATTTAACCTCAAATTTCATGGTTTAGGGATTGCTAAATTTGTATAGGTCTATATCTGACACATGATTTTTACACCTATTATGAGTAATAGGCTATCTATAAGAATCATTGGAAGGTCTACATATCCGTCAAACATGGTCCACCTTTCCTTGACCTCATTTCATGGACCAGTGATCATCAACATTAAGTTTTTTGTAAATTATTTCTATTTCTCAGATACTATAAGCAATAAGTCAACTATAATTTTGGTGTTAAGAATGATTACATATAAAGGTGTACATGTTTGTCTGGCAGGGTTCATCTGACCTTGACCTAATTTTCATGGTTAGGTCTGTTTCTCAGATACTACATATATAAGCAATAAGTCAACTACAATGTATATGTATGGAATAATTGTAAGGTGTACATGTCTACATTTGTATATTAAGGTTCATCTGACCTTGACCTCATTTTATTGTTCATTGGTCAATGTTAGGTTTTTGTGGTTGTGCTGGTTTCTTGGTTACTAAAAGTAATACAACAACTATATTTTGTGTATGGAATGATTGCAAAGTGTTCATTTGGCTTTGACCTCATGTTCATGGTTCATAGGTCAAAGTTAAGTTTTCGTAGTAAGGTCCCTTTCTCTGATACCATACATTGTAACATAAAGTTCAACTATATTTGGCATATGGAATGATTGGAAGGTGAACATGTTGGTCTTGTTAGGTACAAATGTATGGTAATTCTGTAAAGAAGAGTTAAAGTAAACTCAAATAATTTTTCTGTAAAAATTATTATTTATAAAAAACGAAAACACAAATAAAAGTTAATAACAGTGAAATTGTAAATGATACCATATTATAGAATGCTCACAGTTATTGAAAGCAAAATCAGATGTACATGATGTATGCATTTATGTTTTTGTGTACTGGCTGTTTAAGTACATTCATATAAGTCACTTTTAATAATACATAAAATTGAGAATGGAAATGGGGAATGTGTCAAAGAGACAACAACCCGACCATAGAGCAGACAACAGCCGAAGGCCACCAATGGGTCTTCAATGCAGCGAGAAACTCCCGCACCCGGAGGCGTCCTTCAGCTGGCCCCTAAACAAATATGTATACTAGTTCAGTGATAATTGACGTCATTCTAAACTCCAAATTATACACAAGAAACTAAAATTAAAAATGATACAAGACTAACAAAGGCCAGAGGCTCCTGACTTGGGACAGGCGCAAAAATGCGGCGGGGTTAAACATGTTTTTTGAGATCTCAACCCTCCCCCTATACCTCTAGCCAATGTAGAAAAAACAAACGTACAACAGTACGCACAGTAAAACTCAGTTTAAGAGAAGTCCGAGTCCGTTGTCAGAATAGGAAAAAAAAGAAAATAAACAAAATGACAATAATACATAAATAACAACAGACTACTAGCAGTTACTGACATGCCAGCTCCAGACCTCAATTAAACTGATTGAAAGATTATGTCTTCATCATATGAATATCAGGCACAATCCCTCCTGTTAGGGGTTTAGTATTATACCGTCATAAAATATATGAGAAGAACATATCTGTTTTCATAGGATCAGAGGTGGATGATGACCCAGATGGAGGTGTAAGCGAAAGAACAAAAGCCTTCACTACAGCTAGGAACTTACTGATTAATTGTGCCGATGCTATTGAAAGAATGATGTCTTCTTATAAAGAGGTAAAACAAAGATATGTGAAAGAAAAGTTTTGGACATTTATTTAAACTTAATTAAATTGGGAGGGAATATAAGGAACAACAAATGGGAAATCATGGACAGGCTCTGTATTCATTTGGAAAAAAAACGTTTAATTAAGAGTATAATGTTATTACATCCATTTTATATATCACCATAGATACCTTGTGAAACCTGTCGAAACGGAACTTCTTAAGGGCTAAAAAATTTGTTTAGTTTATACAGGTGTTTGGTTTGTACAGGTTCAAAATACATCGATAATTCATCAAAAGGGCAACAGGAATCACAAAAATACTGGACAGTACATGTACAACATACATTTATATTCCACCAACTCCTTACTCCTAGAAAAAGACATTCAAACAACAATCAACAACACATGGTTTAGATGTTTGTATAAAGGGAATTTGGAATTAGTCTGGTTTAGGCAGATTTGGGTTAAGTTCTAGGTTCAGTGATGACAGGTTCTAATGTAAACTACACTGTATGACTTCAAAGTTAAACTGATCTTTGTATTTTTAAGGACAATGCATTATACATTTATTTATTCGAGAAAAAAAATTACCCACCTATAATGATAAATAATGTTTTATCCTTCCATAGCCATAGGAGAGTTCCGGGATAGTTGTTATTTCAATGTTGAGGTTGAAAAGTTCTACCAAATGACATTTTTCTTTGCATCTGGCTAGTTTTTAACACAGAGGAATTGGCAGATGGAAAGATTTAATAGATTTCCACTTCAAAAAATTTACTCCACATTTCTATTTTTACCCCTTCACCCTGTCAGATGAAAACCTACCATAAGATGACATAATCAATAAATAATTGATATTTTCATTCAGAAGAGGTTGTATTGATCCTTAAAAGTCTTTTTCCATAGTAACTTACACATTTTAAGGAACAAACATGGGCAGAAATATGATTTCTTTATATTAGGAGTGACTAGAATAGTTGTATGGTTGGAAAATTTTATGTACACGTATGATCAAAGTTTATAATATTTTTTACCTTTCAAATATTAGTTGTGTGTATTATCTATGTTTAATATGAATTATTTACATTATAGATAACTGAACTAGCTGGATACACATCTAGAGTTTCAGAAATGTTCGAAACTTTCAATGATATCAGACAGGGAAAGTACAAGAGGACAATTGTGACAAAGCAAAAAAAGGGAAAGTCAAACTTAAAGAAAATTTCTGGACCATTAGAAATAAAAGGTATTTGATTACATAAATGATTCTGCACCTTTTGTCAGCAAGTGACCATAAGAGGGCTATAGTTTAGGACCCATAGTCTTAAAACAAAAGTTCTCTCTAGCAAGAGGAAAAAGCAGGAACTCAACTCATTGATGCTGTATAATATGTATAATTTTTTTGTTCAGATATAGTATCCCTTTTTTTTTTTTTAGCAATTACAGAAATAAACTAGGGATGGCAGTGCTCTCTCAGTTTCCATAAAATAAAAATGTCTTTTTCCATTATTGAAACACTGGTTTAATTCACTCGTAATCTAGTGCAACGAAAATAGTTGTGTTTATTGATTCAAGCTTTCATTCTGGTTTATGGTGACAGAATATGGCTTGATGAAAGAACTGTATTGCATATTTATATAATTTTTTTCAGCCTCACCACTTTGATTATGGGAACATAACGGTAGATAAAATGGAAATAATATTTTGATTTTAAAATTTAAAGCTAATTTTTTTTTAAAGAACAATAACTGTTAGAGAAATCATGTTTTTTTCATTAATTATTATTTTATAATGAAGATGACAAGAAAAAATAATATTATCAAAATTCTATGTATTAATTTTATTTTCAGCATATACTTTTCCCAGTACGTGCATAAGTGTATCCTTTAACAATTAATTTTTTATTATAACATAATAAAACTGTTAATATGCATCTTCACTAGCCAAGGGTTATGATCCAGTCCCCCTCCTCTTAACCCTACAAGTTCCGGCTTAATCTGCCAAGGGTGAAGAGGCTACCAAAGATGATTAATATGATGCTGTTCACAGAACTGTGAATGAAAGATCTTAGGATCCCTTCACAGTTAATATAGTTTTGAATAGCTAATAATAAATTAAATGAATGATTTCAGGGAAGGTAATTGACACAGAGTCTGTTATAGACACAGAAGATTTAGCCATCATTACACCTAATGGAGATGTTATTGTAGCCAGTCTGACTATGAGGGTAAGTTAGAGGAAAGGACAATTTATTGGAGTAGAAGAAATGAGGAAAAAGTCAGCAGTGATTACTTATTTCATAAAAGATGCCGTCAACTGACAATTTTTGGCAGTTTCTGTAACAATTTGAATGAAGTTTATCAATGGATGAATATTGTGTGGAAATCTTTGCCATAACTACAGAAAAGGAGTTGTTCAAGTTAAACTTATAGTTATCTGCTTTTATTAACTTACAAAAAGTATATACAGTGTTTCTTTGATAAGGACAATAAATAACCATGAACAATTCAGGCGTTAAAATTTTGATATAAATCAATTTAGTACTCTATACAAGAAATGATATATATAGAAGGAATCAATTTTAACATTTAAGATTTTAAAAACTTTTATCTAACTTGCTGTTTATTGAAATAGTGACCTGGGGCTCATGCTACCAGGCAACTGGGGGAAAGAAGTCACTTTCCTGTCTATCATATAAAAATATGAAGAAGTGGTATGGTTGCCAATGAGACAACATGATTTTTAATATGGTTTAAATTTACTGATAACAAAATCAATATTTATACCAATAAAAACAATATTAAAAGATCTAATTACAGTGTTGAATTGGTAACCTTTCAGAATAAGTTTATTTAAAGGATTTATCTGATAAGTTTACCCAGATCATATCATTTCTATGTTTAGTAAACATCACCTAAAATTAAGGATGTGCTACTCTGTTTGAAATAAGTTTTCTACAGGAACAGCCAAACTTGCAAACCAAATCATTGTATCTATGGAAGAATTTAGTAAAGGTTTTAAGGAATTTGTGGTAACGAAATCCCTGACTTAATAATTTACCAGTAATACATAGATTACTCTCATTGAAATCCAAAACGTCACTACAGATACTGCTATCAGTAAGGTGTCCCATTTAGAACATTTTAAGTATCTAAATTTACTCACTATATGGTGGCTGAAATGAATCCAGCCTTTAACTTTTGAAGCAAGCTAAGGTTTTTTCTTAAGTTTCCTTGTTCAAAAACATTTCTTTTTGCTTGGTATTTGAATTTGAAACCAAAATGTAAATATCATATTCATTCTTTAAATAAAAAAAAATAGGTCTAACCAAGATATATTACATTATAATTGGTTGAACAGGGGGATAATTCTGGATTTTTATTAAAATCTTTCTTATTTCAGGTTGAACCAGGCATGCATCTTCTTATAACTGGACCAAATGGTTGTGGAAAATCCTCATTGTTCAGAATTTTTAGTGGATTGTGGCCTGTGTACAAAGGAAAACTTCAGAAACCTCCACCAACTTCAATGTTTTATATCCCTCAAAGGTATCAATTTATTTTGTAAATTAAATAGTATTTTATGATCTTCTTTATAGGGATTTATTTTTGTCAGGGGTTTTAGTTTTTTGTGGATAATATATATACATGATATAAAACAGCAAATTATCAAAACTAAGAGTTTAATAAAAATTCTAGAATGAAGATAGATTTCAAATTAGAATCTCCACAGAGATTTCGTTATGTAAACAAACACAGCTTGTGTGTATTGTCCAATGTCAAGGTTCTTTGAGCAAATATCATTTCCATTTTGCTTTTCACACAAGTTCAATGGATACATACCTCTACAACCTGGCATTTGACAATTCTGGAATGTTTACAATATTACCTTGGCTAGTTTGGAATAAGAATAGCAGATCTACCATTCTGGAGTGTCTTACATTAAATTGATCTTTTTTCCAAGGTATCATTATATTTTTACCATTTCAGAATGGTAACCGTACATACCATTGAAAATGATACTTTACAAATTTGGTGTGTCGAAAGCGCTTTCATCAATAACACTTGAATCCCAAAATTTAAAAGCCTTGGATACATGAACACTTGACAAGCTATTCCACAAAAAGGGATCAAAAAATCATAGCCAACACCGTCAGGTCAACTTTGCCTGTGGGATTTTGAACCTTAGATTTCTTCATTTATTAACAGAAAATTTTGGAAATCAAATGGTGAGGCACTAACTACTAGGCTGATTATGTATCGAACCACTATTAGAAAATGAAAACTTGTTAAAAATTTTTTGCATCGGAAGCGCTTATCTGGATTTATCGGGTCAAGTAGTAAATAGGGGATTGTTGTTCCATCAGAAGAATTGAGGGGTAAATCAGTTTATATGTACATAAGTTGACAGGTTGACAGTTTTAATTTTTATGTACATAGGTCGACAGATCAACAGTTTGAAAGGTCGACATAAATAAATGGGCATTATTGGTAAACTCTCGACTGTCAAACACTATTTCATCATTTCTTTTTAAAGTTTTTGTCAACTGTCGACCTGTCTACTTGTCAACTGTCAACCTGTTGACCTGTCAACTGTCTACTTGTTTTAAGATTGTTACCACTTAAGCATTATTCTGGTGTAATGAAATAATTTGATTTTGTTGACTTCATTTACGTCAACTGTCGACCTGTCAACTTACAAGAATACACAAGTGTACGAATTTATTATAAAAGCTGGAACTGTATTACCATTTATCCTACATGAGCCGATTCATCTTCATCAGGAATGTTCCAATCCTAATATTTGAAAGCCAGGAATGTATACATAATTGACAAGTTATACAAAAACGAGGGTCCTAAGTCTTAAAATAATAGCAAAAGTCATCTAAGGTCAACTAAAAGCTGCCTTTTGATACATTCATCTACTGTCTATTAATATATTCATATAAATTGTCTATTTGAAAATCAAAATACAGATGCCATGCTATTGACATTATGTAATTTAATTTAAAATATTTTTTTATAGACCCTATATGTCTATAGGAACATTGAGAGACCAAGTGATATATCCAGATAATGTAGAGGATATGAAGAAGAAAGGCATGATTGAAAAAGACTTAATGAATATACTGAATATAGTCAACTTGCAACACATAGTTGACAGGGAAGGAGGTATATTGTTTAAAATTTTTAAATTAAAATGTTTTTTTACTTGGTTTGTCCTGTCATTTTGTATGTGGGGCATGCATAAAATTGAGAATGGAAACAGGGAATGTGTCATAGAGACAACAATCCGACCAAAGAGCAGAAGATAGCCCAAGGCCACCAATGGATCTTCAACACAGTGAGAAAATTCCACAACCTTAGGCGGGCTTCAGCTGGCCCCTAAAAATGTTTTCCTGATGTTTATGGTAATTTAACGTCTAGTCTCATCATATTGATGCCTATATATCTATACATGTAGTCTTTTGAAACATCTATTGCAAATATCAAAGTTAAGACAATACCCATGTCCATATATAAAAAATTAGAAGATGTGGTATGATTGCCAATGAGACGACAACTCTCCACCAGGTTGCACTCTGATAAACTATTTATTCCTTCAATCATTTATATAGCTGGCAGTAAAAGTAGTTTTCTGTATATACACAAACTTTTTGTTTTTGAATTTTTTTAATATTTTCACAAATGTTATTGAGAAACCTGCATTGACTATCATTTAATGAAAAATACCTAGATTTGATAAGGAATCAATTACAAGTTTAAAGAGATTTGGGAAAAAATCACTGAAATTTATCAATGATCCCATTAAATGTACAAATTTATTATCAATCTCCAAATTTATACTGGAACTGTAATAACATGAGACATGGGAGATGGTAAAGCATAGCACTTGTGTTTATGCAATTTTATATTATGCATTAGATTACCACAAGTAGTGAAGTAAAAAGTAAAGTGTGAGTTTTAATTATTAGGATGTTCATTTTCCACTCTTAAAGAAAAGCGACATATATACAACTTAAGTCTCCAAGTTACAATTTGTAATGTAACTTATAAGCATATTATATATGCTGTATTTGCAATGATTGATTAATTGATTGATTGATTGTTGGTGTTAAACACCACTTTCAGAACTCTTGGCTTTATCTTGGCAGCAAGTTATTATTGATTGATGAAGCCATAGTGTCCGACCTTCAAAGTTATTATTGATTGATGAATCCAGAGTCTCTGACCTTCAGTAAGAAAACTGGCAAACCTATTCAATTAGAATTGGAGTTCAATGTGCAGGGTTCAAACTCACAACCTCAGTGTTGACTGGCTAGTAATACTGTAAATAAACTACTTAGACCAAGGCCCTTATTTGCAAAGAAGATGTTTGTATGATTTTAATTTCTAAGTCAATATAAAAATAAGGAGATGAGGTATGATTGCCAATGAGACAACTATCCCCCAAAGTCCAAATAAAGTGGATGTAAGCAATCATAGGCAACCGTACGGTCTTCAACAATGAGAAAAACCCATACTGTATAGTCAATGTCTGTTATAAACCATGTATCTTCTTCTGTAGGTTGGGATTCAGAAAGTGATTGGAAAGATGTGTTATCTGGAGGAGAGAAACAGAGAATGGGCATGGCTAGGATATTTTATCACAGGTTCGTGACTTATTATATAAGAATCTAAAACAGGTGACAGTTCAAGACAAGAAAATGAAGAACAAGATTTCATGTGGTAAAATTTTAACAAAAACAAGGTTTGTTGCTAATTGTCTAGTCTTGCACTTTCATTTGTATATCATTATTTTTACTTCCACTGATATCATCAAAATTCACCAAAAACGACATTTGAGAGTTAACAATTTTGACAGAGTGCATTTCAAAATTTTATCATTATTGAAAAATGCTAGCTTTTAAATGTTAACTATACTTCAAATGGAAAAATCTAAAAATCACCCACTTTTGAAGGTGAGGTGTAACTTTAGAAGAACTTATTTAACTTTTCTCACAATGGGTAAAACAACATTAAAGACAACAACACCCGTACATTACCTCAAAGTAATGGTTTGTTATGGTCTACATGTTTCGCTAACAAGGGTGGTGTCTTCAGGACAAGTAATAGTATGAAATGAAACACTGAAGTACAAAACATGCAGTTATGACAGTCATGACAACGTTATTGTTAAATTGAAAGTGAAAGTAAAGTATAAATAAAGTTATTGATAGAAGAGTTAGTGTTTTCTTGTAGCTGTAAACGATGTGGTTAGTGTCTATTCTGACTGTGTTGCAATATTCTCCTGCAAGGTTCCTAAGGGTTACGTTATATAGAAAGTGAAAGTGAAAGTAAATGTTAAATTGTCAGTTTCATTTCGCAAATGAACAGTACTTCACTGATCATTCCGTACCATTTCATTTGGCTTCATTCTCAAGGAGGTACTTCTTCCAATTGTGTTGGGACTATTGTTAGATGTATGGTCATCAAAGTTGTGGAAATCGTTGTAGATCAGTTACAATTTGAGGATTTGCATAATATCCATGTTTCCAGTTTATTTTCACAACTATGTTGTGTGGTTCCTGTGGTTCATTCTGTTTCTGGTTCTCTCTACTTTTTTCTTAACAAGTTCCCCCAAATCTCCATATATTCATAGTCATATTTGTTGTATGGTATTGTTGGGCTGCTGTCTCATTGATCCCCCTCTTTTCAATTTATTCAGTCATATTTGTTGTAGGGTGTTGTTAGGCTGCTGTCTCATTGATTTTCCTCCTTAAATCTCCATTCATTTATAGTCATATTTGTTGCAGGGTTTTGTTGGGCTGCTGTCTCATTGATTTTCCCTTCAAATCTCCATTTATCATAGTCATATTTATGCAGGGTTTTGATGGGCTGCTGTCTCATTGATTTTCCTCTAAATATCCATTTACTCATAGTCATATATTTCTTGTAGGGTTATTTTTGGCTGCTGTCTCATTGATTCCCCCCAATTCCCCATTTATTCATAGTCATATTTGTTGGAGGGTGTTGTTGGCCTTTTGTCTTATTGATTTTCTCCCAAATGTCATTTTTTTTTCAGTCATATTTGTTGCAGGGTTATGTTAGGCTGCTGTTTCATTCATTTTCCCCCTTATTTCCCTTTATTCATAGCCATATTTTTACATGGTTTTGTTGGTCTGCTGACTCATTGATTTTCCTACCTTTATATCAATTTTTCATAGTCATATTTGTTGCATGGTTTTTTTGGCTGCTGTCTCATTGATTTTCCCTTCAAATTCCATTTTCCTTAGTCATATTTGTTGCAGGGTTTGTTGGGCTGCCGTCCCATTGATTTTTTTACGACCGCAAAAAATCGGTCGTATATTGGTATGATGTTGGCGTTGGCGTTGTCATAGTCGTTGTCCGAAGACACATTGGTTTTCGCACAATAACTTTAGTTTAAGTGAATGGATCTCTATGAAATTTTACCATATGGTTCAATACCACAAAAGGAAGGTTGGGATTAATTTTTGAGGTTATGGTACCAACAGTTAAGGAAAAAGGGGCCAAAAATAAGCATTTTTGTAACTTCCAGACAATAACTTGTGTTTAAGTGTATGGATCTCTCTGAAATTAATAATGGGGTCAATTACTTTTGAAAGTAATTAATTACATTCAATTACAATTACAAAATCTTCAATTAAATTACACATTACATTTGACTTTTTTTGACAATGTAATTAATTACTTTCCAATTACTTGGCAAATGTAATTAATTACTTCAATTACTTTTGAAAGGAAAATTTCGAACATGCATTTATTCTATCATATGTACATAATTATCATACATTGCTTTATAGTAATAACAAATGAGATCTACAGTGACTATTTTCAAATTCAGCAAGTATCAAAGAAGAGTAAAAGTTAAATATCTGGTGTGTTAAGGTAATAAAGAAAAAACAAACATAAATCTGAAGTGCACATAATACTTTGTCTATCAGGAATCGTTAGGACTAGATGTCTGGTTTAATTTAATGCACAAAATGATAAAAAGCTTTATTCAATATTTGGAAAATATTAAATTTTGTTTAATTACCTATTGAAATTTTATGTTTCAATGTATTTCATTGAAAATGATACAAGAAGAGAGCCCTATAGATAAAATTTTATTTTTTTTATTTTGATCACAACTTATTAAAAATTATTTTTCCTAAAGAAATGATTTAGAAAGTCTGCCTTTTATTAAAAATATAATGTAGTTTTAATCACAATTAATTGATTTTAAAAAAATCATGTACCTAGGGGTATATTTATCTCTCTTTAATTGGCTTAACACCTGTTTAACATGCAAACATATCTGTTGTAAAAACAGTCATTATATAGTTTATGATAGAACAAATAGCCAGAGGTTATATTTATTGATTGACTTATGACCTTTCAAATTGATTATGTTAAATCAATGTCTAACAATATCCATCTGAATATACATGTAGGTAACAAGCTAATTAAGGTATAAGACAGTGACTTTCTAATGGTTTCTTTTAAACACAAATTATGGCATGTTTCTACAATATTTTTTTTTCTTTTTAATTTTTTGTTCATTCATTACAAAATAAAGAATCTTCCATGGTTGTGTAATTCCAGAAGGTATACTGTGTTGGCTTTGATTTGTCAGCTAACTACATTTGCTAAGGTCATGGCTTTTCATAAATTTTTGAGAAAAACACAAGATTCAACCTTTCTGATCCCAAATTTCAAATGTAATTGAGTTGTAATTGAAAAGTAATTGTCAATTACAGACAATTTTGGCTTTGTAATTCATTACTTTCAATTACTTGTAATTGAAAAAATGATCAATTACACATTACATTCAATTACTTGAGAAATTGTAATTAATTACAGCCAATTACAATTACATATTTCAATTACCCCATGTCTAGAAATTATACCACAAGTTTCCATACCACAATGGGATGGTTAGGATTGGCTTTGGGGGTTATGGCTCAAACTGTTTAGGAATTAGGGGCAAAAAAGGGGAAAAACAAGGGTTTCCTGGTTAATGGACAATTTAAAAGCAGTGTAAGGGAGGTAATCCCAAAACAAAATTGTACAATGTTGTACAATGTTGGATTACCTCCCTTACACTGCTTTTAAATTATCTATTCAAGTCTTTTATGATGTATTTAAATTGGTAATTATGGTTGCAAACTCCATTGGAAATTTGAATTGAGATTATGACCATATCTTGAGGGAAAGAATTTTTTTTGGGGGGGGGGGGGAGGGGGGTGGTCAATTCGCAACAGCATAGTGTATTGCATAAAAGCAAAAAATTGAATATAAATTCAAATCATATAACAAATTCTAAGTTCTTTGACTACAGTTATTCGGTGTCAGAAACCTATTATGTGTCAAATATTTAATTACAATCCAAATTCAGACCTGTATTAAGCACGAATATTGTGTCCATTTTCGCCCCAACTGTTCATGGTTGGACCTCTGCGGTCGTATCCAGCTGCGCTCAGCGAAGCATTTTATTTCCTGTTAAATTTATTCATTCATAGTTGTATTTGTTGTATTGTTTTGTTGGTCTGCTGTCTCATTGATTTTCCACAAATTTCGATTTATTCATATTCATATTTGTTGTAGGGTGTTGTTGGGCTGCTATCTCATTGACCTTCAATTTATTCATAGTATTTTTTTATGGAGATTTTGATGATTTGCTATCATGTGACCAGACATTCTTTGAAGATAAAAGGATAATGATAATCAGTCTGCATGGTGTTTTTTTTTATTGAGTTGTAGACAATAAACATAATTTGTCTAATTGGGGCTTTATTTCACACAGGTGGGCAACTGAGGTTTTCTGCTTTATCTTGATTAAAGAAAAGCCTCTCGTGTGTATTCTTTTTATTTTACTTCTTTTGTAAAACAGTTTGACAAATTAGTTATACAAATTGATAGTTCAAATTATATATCATGCATACAAAACAGATTTTATCATGAACAATTCATTTAAAAGTCATGTGTCTATTCATATTGATATAATTATACATTTTTTTAATTATATGAAATACAATTTACCCACAACTTGTACAATTTTATTTGAGTGTATATGTATGTCCATTTGTTTAAATAGAGTTTCTTTGATTTTGTTTTTTTTAAAAGAAAGTCAAATTATACATGATTTAGATAAATAAATTCAGTATGGTAGGGAGAGTAATTTATGATGAATATTTGAGATGAAATTTATAAAGCTGATAAAAGAAAAGAATGAAAAATAACTTGAATTCAAAAATCATGAAAATAAGATAGTAATTTGAAAGAATATTTATGATGTAATGTTTTATACTGTTAGAAGTTAAAAATTGAAATCAAAATAAAATTCAATTTTTGCTTGTGAACCACACTATTAAGTGTGTAAACTGTAATAACACAGTACAACATACCCAATACACTGAGGGTGTAAAATGGAACTAAGTAATTAGACATTGGTAGCATCAGATGACACTGAGTAATCTTGGTAGTTAGAGATGACACTTAATAACCTTTATAGTGCTTGATGACACTTCGTAACCTTGATAGTGTCAGATAGCCCTTAATAACCTTGTTAGTGTCAGGTGACATTTTGTAACTTTAAAAGTGTCAGATGACACCTTGTAACCTTAACGCTGCACTCGTTGCTTTGTGCGGATCAAGCACAGCACAAACTTGAAATAAAAGTCTAGCAAAGTTTGTCTCACCCAATAACTGGTGAGCAATGCCACATAACACTGGTGTACACATGTAAGGAAAATTTGCTTTTAAACTGGCATTTGTTATTATTGATTTAAGTTGTCGTAAACAAAATCTGCATGATGTTATGTCTTGTAGATGGTAGTAACATAGGAAGCTGAGGAAATATGCAAATGCTAATGGATGATACACTGGATTGTTGTTTGTAACATCTACTTGTAACTCTTGTGGAATTATTGATGACTTCTCATGAAATAGAAGAGGAAAAATTGTTAATGTTTTATATACTCGATAAATTGTTTCTTTTTTCATCAGATTCAGCTCATGTTTTTGGAAATGATTTAATTTGTCCTCAGTCATGCTTGATATAGTATAAAATTTCTCATCTGTGTATTTCTGCAATGTATAATTTACTACTGATAATGAGGCAAAGTAATTTTTGTGCACATAGAAGAAAGATGCCAACGTCAGCCATCCTGATACTGCATCTGAATTTACACCAATCAATAAATGGCTCAGATCATATTTGTACTTGAAGTATTGCTGTTTGTTTTCTGAGCTATAGTGATGTTTTGAAGCATCTAGAGCAAACCTACTTGCTACTGATAAATGTAAAGCAAATAGACCTCTAGATAAACCTGTTTTAGCATTATGTAGAAAATGATATAGTAGACGCATATTCTTTATACTTGGAATATAAGAAGATGTTTCTGGTACTATTCTGATAATTCCAAAATATTCCGGGATTTGGAAGGACAGTCTTTGATAATCTTGAAGGGTCTCAGAAGACTTAAAACAAACAATTCCTTGCTCGTTTAAATTCTTAAGTATGGTGGTTAATTTTTCTTTGTTCATCACATTGAACCGTGTGCAAAAAAAGTTATTGTCAGGAATAAAATAATGGGGCAAGATTGAATATTTTACACAGTACAGCAGTCTTTGTAAACATGTCATGAAACATGGTATAATATTACCAGGTCTCCATAAATTTGGGTCTGTTTCTTCTGAAATCCAAAACATTAGTGTTTTCAAGAAGTATGAACACAATAAACCTTTCAAATCTTCATGTTTCTCTACTATTTCCTTCAACAAGATTTTTAACAGAGCATAGCATAATAATTGTGTGTGACTGAATGCATATATAAGAAATTTTTCTGCTACAGAAAATGAAATTCGCCATTCTAGATTTTCATTTACAGATCCTTTGCAGCCTATTGGCACGAATAACACACCGCAAGATATTATTTTCGAAATGATTTCAGGTGAAGGCCATGTAGTACGTGATCTGCTAACCCATGGCTGTGCTTGAAATATCCATTTGTCACATTTAAGGCAAAATGCTATATCCATAACATCATTTATATCAGATACACATGGTCCATGAATTTTTGTAAACATTTTTGCTATTTTGGGAGGATAAATAGACAAATGGACCAGTTTATAATTTTCACTAGAAAACATACATTCCAAATGATTTCTTTGCCACTTGTTTTTGAAATATGGCAGCATATAATGATAATAATTAGGCAGACATAATTGTGTAAAACATGGTAAGGTCTCCTCAGTGTTCATAATCAATGGAATTGAGGGACCATCAAAAACAGCTTCTTTTTCTGATTGATACACCTTAAAGAAAGGATCAACAGCCATTAGATCAAAATCACTGCTTTTGAAATAAAGGCCTTCACCTTTACTTCCGCTTGTTATGTGTTTAAAAATATATGTTTGTTCCATATCAATAATAGTTGAAGTTAATCTTCTTATTTTCACAACTTCTTTAGATCCAATCTTTTTGCAAAGATATTTATAAAAATTCAACGATTCATATTCCTCTGTGGACATTCCAGCCATTTTCTGCATATCTGTCTACAAAATAAATTAATCCTAGAAAAAAGTAACAACAACTTCTTTATCTTACAATACTGTTTTTTTTTTTTTTTTTTTACTTGGTAAATTTTGGGACTATTATACTAATATATATAATATTGATATTAGCATAATAGTCCCAGGTAAATTATATTACTTGGTAAGTTGAGGACTGCCAAAAGAATTCCAACAAGAGTGTTGTCCTGCTGAGACAAGCAAGTCTGATAAAATAATCCTTACTAGTAGATGAAATAAAAATTGTTAAGAACACAAAGTCTAGCTGTCAGTATAACATTTTAAATTTAGTTGCACAGATTTATGCAGGAATCTATGCACATTCCCCATCAATATGGTGGCAAAGTGAAATATCTTCATTGAAAGTGGGAGGTTTAGCTAGCTATTAAATCAGGTTTAACCTATCATTTTCTTTGGATAATGCCTGTACCAAGTCAAGAATATGGCAGTTGTTTTTCAATTGTCCTTTGATTGAAAGCATTTGATTTTGACAGCTTTTATGGGCTTCCCCTTTTTGAATTTTTGAATGTCTTCAGTGACCATATTCCATTCTGTTCAGCTGAAATTTGAGGACATTTTCACACTAGCCAGATGTAGTTCAAATAACTTCATTTTTTGGGGGGTGTTTAGCAAGTAAAAGTCAATAATTTTTTTTTAAATCAGAAAATCAATAAAAGGACTGCTTCTGAAGTTAAAGAGATCATCTGAGTTTGATAGGGTTTGACATTAATTTGGTAGATTAGTGAAACATAATTACAGTGCCCCATAATTATGTTCGTGCCCTTCCTTTGATAGATACTTACTTTGGATTCATTGATATTCGTTGGATACCAATTTGCATGGATTATGTTGGTACAGGGGAACCACAATTTAAAATGTTCAACGAATTACATATTTTCTTAGGAATGTACGCAGACTTTGCCAAAACAATGAAATTAAATATCCATGAAAATGCAAGTTTTCATCAATCCACGAAAATTGGTACCGATGAAAATAAATGAATCCACAGTAATTAAGCAGGGGCATACTATTCTTTCCAGTAGTGTGTTCTCCATCCTTTTTGTTCAGATGGAAATGTGATATGGTGAGCAGAGCATGGCTAGTTGTCCCGTAGACACAGTCATATTCTTATATCAAAAAATACTTTGATGTAAATATCCTGGGAAAGGAAAACACCAACACAATTTTACATGAAATTGATTTAAATTTCTAAATTTCTTACCTTTAATTCTTTCTCTGCCATTTTCTATAATTACTATTGTCTTCTTCAGTTTTTTGCAGGCTCCATAATGTCAACAAACTGTTGAAAACTTTTCTTTTACTATTGTAAACATATTGTTAATCTTTTGAAAGAAAATTACTGATTATATATAGTGACTTTGAAACAAGGAACTGTTAAAACAATGGAAAGTTTGAAGTTGATGAGAACATAGAAATTGAAACCAAAACTACAGGTTTTTTCATTTTATTTATGAAATAGAAGAATTGAAAAAACAGTCATGAGTTATATTTAATAATAGTAGTATCAACATTTCATAAGGAAAAAAACAATTGTTTCTTAATTCTATCTTTTACTTTCTCAATGTAAGTTTCCTTGAATTGACTCAGCTACTTGATATGATACGGACATTTACGCCTACTTGTCCTTGAAATCTTCATCATCGAATTGTTACATAATTGGGCATTGAGTATACATACTAAATGGATTTTTCAAATAAATTTCCAGTTTCAGTTTTACACAAAGTAGCCTAATATTTTTTTAGCTCAAATGGCCTGAGGGGCCTGAGGAATTTTAAATTTCATAAAAATGTGAAAATTAGCAAATAAAAAAGATATGTAAACAGATAATGTAAAGAGCTCTCTCATGATGGGTTATTAATTTACTTTAAAATTAAGTTTTTTTGTGATGATGATGTTATTGTTAAATTGAAAGTACTAGTGAAAGTAAAGTATAAATAAAGTTATTAATAGAAGAGTTTTATTGTAGCTGTTAAGGATGTGGTTAGTGCCTATTCTACCTGTGTTGCATGAATAAATTCAGATAAAATGTAAACACAAATAACAGGATTTTCAGTTATTTAATTTCCTAGTAAAAACTGAATTTGTTTATCAAAAATAATTTGAGTTCTAATTAATACAGTGGGTCATTAATGATTTACCTCCCATTTTTGTTACAATTGTTGTTCTTGTATAGATTTTCACTATAGTTTCTACTATGCCTGCATTTTAAAGTTTTTGTAAAATTTTAACTACTCAGCAGTTGATCAACAGCTTGTTTTTTACTTGTTTGAAATAAGTTTTAGTATGGCTATGATTTAAATGATAGATTAAATTTTTATCTTTTACTAGTATATACTGTAAAGTACCAGTCAAATTTGAAGAATCTTTGATTTTACAATTTTTAACCTTGAAAGTACATGATGAATGTTATTACAAGCAAAAGCCATTCATGGATATTGAACAATGATGAAATTGGCATATGTTTATATTTTGACATTTCAGTTGCTAGTCAAAAGTAATATTTAGCTAATGTTATTTCAGACCACAGTATGCATTACTTGATGAATGTACCAGTGCTGTTTCTATAGATGTAGAAAGTAAGATATACCAAACAGTCAAGGACAGTGGGATAGTATTACTTACTATCACTCATAGACCTTCATTGTGGTAAGATATAATGTATTTGTACTTATTTCTTTGTGTAATTATTGTTTGATATTTCAGTGAAGATTATTTCTTTGAAAGTAAATTTACATGTAACTAACAAAAAGGTGGTAATGCAAAAAGTGATAGACTACTGGTTACTGAAACCCATTTGGATTAATGTGTTTAGAGATGTCATTGTATCAGAGTTTTTCTATTACTTTCCTTAATTCACAAATCATGTTACTTTAAATGATTTGTTATAGCTTGACCTAATTTTCTGTTAAATTAGATAGATTTTATTGTATGTGATTATACAAAACTATTCAGCAACATACATGTCATATGCAGTGAAGATTATGTGAGAAAGAATTTCTTTCTTGGAATCAAATGTATACCTTAAGTCTAATTATATCCCTACTCAGGTAATAGGTGGTACACTGCATTCACATTGTCCTTCCTCCTGTACATTCTTCCCTCCATCAGTCTGTTTATTCGAAACTCTTTTTACATATTAATTTCTCTTCTGTATGATAGAATAATTCGGTGTGGAACTATATAAGGATGATCATGAGTTGTAACATTTTAGCTATTCTGAGATCTGTCGGACAGTCACTTCCTGTTAAACAATACTTTAAATTTTATTTTACCCTCTGACCATGGAATTTTTCTCAGTTTGTGTATCATGGAATGATTTGTTATTTGGCCTGGAATTTTATAAAGTAATGAGTTGTACTGTGAAAGCAGTTTTCATATTTCCGATACTTTAATTTTTTTATACCCACTAAGCATGGACTGTTAACTTATTGTCCAATAACAATGGCATATAATTTGCATGTTATCCCTTGCAAATCTTTGTTTTGGTAGAATGAGCTAGTAACTAAGTTAAATGTACATGTGGTCAAAGTAGATGATCAATATCTTTTATATGCAGATCACTTTGACCAACCGCCATCAATCTCTCGTTTAAGGAGCTAACTCTAGATTAAGGGACATTACTCCTGAGAATCACAACTTCATTTAGGTCAACCATTTTCATAAATTTATTCCAAACTGCTAAGTAACACAGATTCATTTAATTCTGATATATGCTAAAGAGCATTTATGAAATTGGCTATTACCAATGCCTTACTGATATAAAGAATTATCTCTCTTAAATGAGGTCCACCTAACCCCCGCCCCTCCTTAAATTTTACTGAGTTTGTTATCAAAATGACATAGGATTGAATTACAAGTGTTTGATGGAGTTAATCAGTTCATTTTCAAATGTTGATAGTTTTGTCAGTACACTACAATTTCCATTTCCTTCACAAATTGCATGCAGTATATAAATCAATAGAATAAAGCATTAATCTTCAACCTATATAAGATACAAGAAGTAAAAAGAATAAAAGTAGCAGCATGTTTTTCTTTTTTTCACTTGTGTTCAGATTTGTTGTTTTTTACAGGAAATTTCATACCCATCTGTTACAATTTGATGGAGAAGGAGGTTGGAGAATGGAAGAACTTAATACAAACACTCGTCTTACCCTTAACGAAGAAAAACAGAAGCTTGAGACCCAATTAGCTGGTGTACCTAAGATGCATAACAGACTATCAGAGCTTTGCTCTATATTAGGAGAGGATTCAGTCTTACTATCCAGTCATGATAATTTAGATGATGTAGATGAATTGGTAGAGAGTTGATGCACAACATTCCCTAGTTGATTTCTTTTATTTCTTCAAATTCTCTTGCCAGTGATATTGTACTAGTTAACTAGTGTTAGTGAACAGTTTTAGAAACAAATCATGTCTATGATTAACAAATCATGTCTATGATTAACAAATCATGTTTATGATTTAACAAATCATGTTTATGGTTTAACAAATCATGTTTATGATTTAACAAAATCATGTCTATGATTTTGGTACATAAAATGTTTTATTAAATATTCAGTTTACAATAACTAATTACACATTATTGGGTATTTTCCCTTTGTGATTAATTTTAACAAACAGAGCACTATTGATTGATTACATTTTAATTTGACAGCATTCTTTAAATATTTGAACAACCAATATTTATGAATGACCATTACTACAGCATTGATTACAAGTTTGATGTTCTGTTGTTGTTTAATAATTCCATATGTATCTAGTCAGTTTTGATATTTGTGCTCAGGGTAGCATATATGAATGTACTTATATTATGTCTTTTTAAACCAAGGAAAAGAAATTCCCAGATTTTCATTCTAACTTTAAGGGGTCATTTAACGATAAAAAATGCTCTAAGTTTCTATCATCGTAACCCTGGTGGTTGTTTGTAATAGGATTGTATAAGATTGGAATTACCCTATTCAAGAAAAAAGTTGGATGAGAATCTGGGGCATTTTTTTACTATGGCCTAAATGTATAATGGTTGTTTTCCTGTACAATATACTCATTCTAAGCACAAATCATATTTTGTAAAAGATGTCAGCATTTTATACAAGGGATGGGAAAAAATACAACAATTTTCTGTGAAGAATCCGATTATATTATATTAATAGTAATTAGTTAATAGAAAAAACTCCTTTTTCTAAGGTAATTTTCTTTGAAGAATCAGATTATATTATATTAATAGAAATTTGTTAATAAAAAAAAACTCCTTTTTCTACGGTAATTTTCTTTAACAGTGATGTCAGCATCAAACTACTGAATTATTCATCCAGAGCATGAACAAAATTTACAAATTTTGTTGATCATAAGATACTTTTACAAACTATAGATTTCATCTTTTGATGTCAGAAAGACAAGTTTTAACAAAGGAGTGACGGGGAAGCAATTAACTGTTCTGTCTTTTTTTTTATTCTGTAGATAACTGTCGACTTACATTTATCATTTTTAAAACTGAGTAAGGGGTAGATCCTCCTTTGCAGAACAAACTTCTGGAATTTTCAGAAACCATTGAAAAACCAATATCCCATTCTTGAAGCCATCTTTAATTTTAAAATGTGTTTCAGCAATGCACTTTTTGTAAGTCTACCATCCCTTAAAAAAGGCCACATCTACAGTTAAAATGTGCATTTCAATCCTTTGAAAAATTTGTGATGGGTGTAATTTGTTAGTATAAAATTGCTGTAAGATGTAGATGAGCAAAAAATACCATCATTTATTAAGATTATTCAAAATTGTAGATGGCCTCTTCTTATTAAAAACAACATAATTTCCAAGTCAAGCTAAATTTTCTATTATTATATGATTATACAACTACCAAAATTTGAGAGACTGCCATCTTATAAAAATCTTTCTTTATGGCAAAATCTGCTGTAACAGTATTAATATATATGATAGTGTTTTTGAAATGAGTGTATTTTCATGGGAATATTGTATTATGTGTGGATATTATCATTGTGATATTAAATTAAGGAGTCTTAAAAAGCTGTATCATTTTTTCTTTGGTGGATTACCATCAGTTGTCATTTTCTGCTAAGCTTAAATGTATTTTTGTTGTATTATTAGTTGTATTTATAAGCAAAGGTTTTACTGTCACAAAAAGTTGTTTATGTGCCAAATAGGAAATCTGGAAGGTTCAAGCAATTGCAGAAAGATACTCATCTAAATGTGTATTATGTGTAACCAGAATAAAGACATGTTTGCATGAATAATGAAATCCATAGCAATGTTTTACCAATTTCTCACATAACTTTAGTCTATTTGTTAATATATTTTGTCTACCTTTAGCTACATAGTTTAGATGGCTAAATTTTTAAAAAGGCACAAATATGATTTTTCAACTTAAAAAGATACCTACTGTGTCCCCATTTACTTTAAAAAAAATATATATTGTTTTCTAATTCATTCTATTTTGTATATCACTAAGTCCTTAACAATGCAAATTACAATGCAGTTTGATTTTAAAAAGAATATGTTACTGATCGGCCATTTTTAATAATGATTAATTTTTTAAACTATGTTGAATGTACCTTGTCCAACAAACAGACATTTTTTTCACCAGAGAGAGTTTTCACTTATACCATGTTACCTGGGTATAGCTATATAAACAAGTATCATATTACCACATAATGTTTCACATTTTTACAAATTTAAATGATAAGTCAACGTAATAAATATTATGTTTTTGCTGACCTCGTCTAGACAACTGACATGTGATTTTTTGCCACCTTTTGGCATTCTTTTTTCATTCCCTGTTGTAAATTTTATAATAAAAAAACATTCTGTGAAGTTAGACCAAATTGTTCTGCATTCTGTTAAGGGGATGTAACATGGCTTTTGAAGGCTAATAGTAGGTAAGCTAATTTGGCTTCCATTACTGTGTACAAAAAATATATACCGGGTAAGTGAAGTACAAACAACCAAAGTCAAATTCTACAATTTTTAATATCTCCTTCAACCACCAAAGCTTATATTAAGGTAGATGTAAATACTTATATTATGAAATTGGTTTTTGTGATTTATTTAGAATAGAGAGGGTTCTTATATAGACCCTTTGTATAAGTAACCTGTAAGACTTGAATAGTTTGATCAAAGGAAGAAAGCTTCCAAAGACCTACTAACAAAGTGTACAGGGTAATCTAATATTGTTATTGATGTTGTAAATGTGTTGTTGGGTTTGTTATCTCATTAATTGTTACCTGGCATCCTTTATTCTTATCCCTTTTTCATTGGTCGGGATAAAATTATGAACAAAGTGTATGAATTTTATGGTATGAAGATATGCTTCATTTAGGTCCAGGCTATAAGGCTTAAAAGTTACATAATAAGATGTGGTTATCCTTTTGAGATCACTGGATTTTCCAGTAATCATAGTCTTTTATCAGCATCAGAATCCAGGGTGTCTTTTTCTGAGCATCCTCTTCTGGTCATGTTCCAAAAATACTTTTTTGCTTAAATATTTTACCAAATATCATTAAATATACAACACAAACATCTACAACTTAAAATTTAAAGATTAAACTAACAGAAAATTAAGTGTCGATAAGTTTATTTAAAATTTTCAGAAAAATCCTTTTAAAATCAAAGGCAGATAATTATACTGAAGTTGATAGGACAATTGTGTTTTTTTTTTTAATTTTCAAAAAAATAAGGCCTGTGACGGTGTGACCCCCTTTTTTTATTTTATATTTCATGAAAAGCAATTCTCTCATTGAATTTTAACTAATTCTATCATTTAATGTTTCCTCAATAGAGAAAAATAAAGTTTCTGCTATATAACCCATACAAAATAATTGCAATTTCGTTAATTTTAATATATTTTAACAAAAAAACGAGGTCTGTGACCCCCAGTTTTTATATTGAAATTTGAAAGTAAATTGACCCAGATGTCTTTCACTATAGTTTAAGAAAAATCTATCGTCAAACATTTGGACACCCCGGCTACCTTAAATGATAAGACCTTTATGTATTTGCCTTGACCTATAATGGTTTACTTTTATAAATTGTAACTTGGATGGAGAGTTGTCTCATTGGCACTCATACCACATCTTCCTATATCTATTGGATGTGTTTTTGCATGGTTACTGTGGATTTCATTAATATTTTTGGGATACCAATTTTCATGGGTTTCATGGGTACAGGTGAACCAGGAATTCAAGTATTTAGCCAATTATAAATTTTCTAAAGGCTTTGAATGTAGAGATAAGCAAAATTTATTTATCAGTTTTTAAGGTTGATAGGCCTGCTTTCCTGTCACCTATTCATCTATGTACTATATTTTGTATTTATTATTATACTATGTAAAAACTTATAATAACAACACTTTCCTGATTGCTCAAGTGATTAAAAAATATGACAAATATACCGAACTCCAAGGTATATTCAAAAAGGAGAAGTCCATAAAAACCAATAAAATCAAAGGTTATCAATCAACTGAAAGAATGAAAAACAAGTGTCATATTCCTGCCTTGGTACAGGCAATTGAAAAATGGTGGGTTAAACCTGGTTGTCGAGCCTGCGACTTTTGTCGCAGAAAGCTCGACATAGGGATAGCGATCCGGCGGCGGCGGCGGCGTTAGCTTACTTTTTAAAAGCTTTATATTTTAGAAGATGGAAGACCTGGATGCTTCATACTTTGTATATGGATGCCTCATGTTACGAAGTTTCCGTCAGTCACATGTCCAATGTCCTTGACCTCATTTTCATGGTTCAGTGACTACTTGAAAAAAAAGTTCAGATTTTTTGTAATGTTAAATTCTCTCTTATTATAAGTAATAGGATAACTATATTTGGTATGTGCGTACCTTGCAAGGTCCTCATGCCCGTCAGACAGTTTTCACTTGACCTCGACCTCATTTCATGGATCAGTGAACAAGGTTAAGTTTTCGTGGTCAAGTCCATATCTCAGATACTATAAGCAATAGGTCTAGTATATTCGGTGTATGGAAGGACTGTAAGGTCTACATGTCCAACTGGCAGGTGTCATCTGACCTTGACCTCATTTTCATGGTTCAGTGGTTATAGTTAAGTTTTTGTGTTTTGGTCTGTTTTTCTTATACTGTATGCAATAGGTCTACTATATTTGGTGTATGGAATGATTGTAAGGTGTACATGTCTAGCTGGCAGGTGTCATCTGACCTTGACCTTATTTTCATGGTTCAGTGGTCAAAGTTAAGTTTTTGAGTTTTGGTCTTTCTTTCTAATACTGCATGCAATAGGTCAGCTATATTTGGTGTATGGAATGATTGTAAGGTGTACATGTCTAGCTGGCAGGTGTCATCTTACCTTGACCTCATTTTCATGGTTCAGTGGTCAGAGTTAAGTTTTTGTGTTTTGGTCTTTTTTTCTAATCCTATATGCAATAGTTCAACTATATTTGGTGTATGGAAATATTTTATGATCTATATGTCAGTTACGCAGGTTTTATTTGACCTTGACCTCTTTTTCAAGGTTCATTGCTCAGTGTTAAGTTTTTGTGTTTTTGTCTGTTTTTCTTAAACTATAAGCAATAGGTCAACTATATTTGTTGTATGGAAGAAGTGTTAGCTGTACATGCCTGCCTAGCATGGTTCATCTGACCTTGACCTCATTTTCATGGTTCATTGGTCAATGTTTAGTTTACTTGGTTAATGTTAAGTTTATGTGACAGTTGTAATAAAGCTTTATATTTAGGACTATCAACATAATATCAATGATTAGTAAAGAAGGCGAGACATTTCAGCGTGTGCACTCTTGTTTTATAGCTAGCTAAACCTCCCACCTGTATGACAGTCGTTTATAGCTAAATGAAATTGACATGTTTCAGTGTCTACATAGGACACCATTGTCAGGATAAAAACAGTACATTCTTCACACAATCTAATTAGAATATTAAATCTCTGCACTCGCTCAGCGACCAAGCATAAACAAATGAGTTAGAGCAGAGATTTAATTTTAATTAGATTGTGCATTACACACTTTTCAGTGTGGAATTTTTTTCTTAAGGTATTGAAATCTAACTGTGTAAACATTTGTGATTATGGATAGAATGTGCAAAGCTTTATGTAATACTAATCAAAAATAGATGAAGTGATTTTTAATGATTTTGAACTAGTGAGTGGTCCTTAATTAATAAGAATATGGCGCACAGAACAATCATATTTTGACTTTACATATTTTTGTTTTGTTGTTATTGTCTAGAACAAATGTTGTGATTGTGTATTAACTTATAATTGACTATTAAATTTGATTTTAAGATCACCAATAAAGATCCATGAGTTTTTTTCTTTCTTTTTTTTGGTTCCTTTATTAATAGAACTGAAAGATTGCCTGGAGGTCAGTTGGTAGTGTGTTTGCCTTGTGTGGGTGGTCATGGACCGTTCAATCTCCACAAGAGTCACATTAAATACTTTGAATTGGTATTTGTCTCTTCAGTGCCAAATTTCTAGCATTTGATATAACAGCATTAAACTGGTCTCAAAAGTAAGAATAACGTGTTCCGCTGGGGTGTAACTTTGTAACTAGTCAGTTAAAAGTCTGACTAGTCTAATACAAAAAAGTTATATCAATTTGATATAAATGTTACCATCCTGAAAATGCATTGGAATATTTTCTCGGAACATTAAGCTTATATCAAGCAATAAATATGCATATAAATGTATTACAGTATATTAAAATAGAAATCATTATATTGTAAATGCCACCACATAACTCTAAGTATTGGATTTCCACAAATCAGGTTTTTCAGCAAGTACAGACTAAGAGAGTACCTATCAATTCAAATAAATATCTACAACATAAGAAATGAAAATATATAATCCAGAAGACACTAAAAGCATAGGACAAGTCAACCTTAAATGTGTCAAATTACACTGGAAACTAAAGCTCTAAATAATATAACTCCCCACAAAACCAGATGTCATATTTGTCTCTTCAGAAATTATAACATGCAAAAATGGTTAAATTTCAGTAAGAGTTAATTGCTTTAAACCCTGGGGTGGTTCAGAACTTGATAGATTGTATGGACATCTGTTTGTGGTTGGAGAATATATGTTGACAGGTAGAATTTCTTTTATAGCTCACCTAGCCCAAAAGGGCCAAGTGAGCTTTTCTCATCACTTGGCATCCGGCGTCTGTCGTTAACTTTTACAAAAAATCATCTCCTCTGAAACTACTGAGCCAAAGTTAACCAAACTTGGCCACAATCATCATTGGGGTATCTAGTTTTAAAACATGTGTCCGATGACCCGGCCATGCAACCAAGATGGACGCCATGGCTAAAAATAGAAAATAGGGGTAAAATGTAGATTTTGGCTTATATCTCTAAAACCAAAGCGTTTAGAGCAAATCTGACGAGATAAAATTGTTCATCAGGTCAAGATCTATCTGCCCTGAAATTTTCAGACAAATCAGACAACACATTGTTGGGTTGCTGCCCCTGAATTGGTAATTTTAAGAAAATTTTGCAGTTTTTGGTTATCTTGAATATTATTATAGATAGAGATAAACTGTGAACTGCAATAATGTTCAGCAAAGTAAGATCTACAAATAAGTCAACATGTCCAAAATTGTCAATTGACCCCTTAAGGAGTTATTGCCCTTTATAGTCAATTTTTAACAATTTTTCGTAAATTTTTGTAATCTTTTACAAAAATCTTCTCCTCTGAAACTACTGAGACAAATTTTACCAAACTTGGCCATAATAGTCATTAGGGTATCTAGTTTAAAAAATGTGTCAGATGACCCCGCCTGCCAACCAACATGGCCGACATGGCTTAAAATAGAACATAGGGGTCAAATGCAGTTTTTGGCTTATATCCCTGAAACTAAAGCATTTAGAGCAAATCTGACATGGGTAAACATGTACATCAGGTTTAGATCTATCTGCCCTGAAATTTTCAGATGAATCAGACAACTTGTTGTTGGGTTGCTGCCCCTGAATTGGTAATTTTAAGGAAATTTTGCAGTTTTTGGTTATTATCTTTAATATTATTATAGATAGAGATAAACTGTAAACAGCAATATGACCAAAATTGTCAATTGACCCCATAAGGAGTTATTGCCCTTCAAATAAGAGACAAAAAGTCAAATTTAACAATTATTCGTAAATTTTTGTAATCTTTTACAAAAATCTTCTCTCCTGAAACAACTGAGACAAATTTAACCAAACTTGGCCACAATCATCACTAGGGTATCTAGTTTAAATAATGTGTCCGATGACCCTGCCTGCCAACCAACATGTCAGACATGGCTAAAAATAGAACTTGGGGGGAAAATGCAGTTTTTGACTTATATCTCTGAAACTAAAGCAAATGTATAACGGTTGCATTATTTCATGCATCAATTGTAGATAAAAATATCAGGATAGAGACACAGGCTCCTTGGAGCCTCTAGTTTTATGACCCCGCTGCAGGGGAGGGGTATTAAATGTTACCTTTGTCCGTCTGTACGTCCATTCATATGGCCCGAAATTGGTTTCCATTCTCTAACTTTAGTTTGCCTCAACCAAATGTTATGAAACTGTACACAATGCTTTCATTATTACCACAAAACACAGATAAGGTTTGAATTTGGGTGGTGTCACTTTTACTGTTCTAGAGTTATGCCCCTTTACAAATGGAAAAATCTATAAATTTTTCGTTTCAGTTCTCCAACTTCAGTTTGCCTCGAACTTATGTTATGAAACTTATGTCCCTTTATAACATGCAAGTGGGGGTATCATATGTGTCCCATGGACACATTCTCCATTTATTTTGTATTATTTCATTGCTTGCTCGTCTCCTTTTATTCATGTGTAGTATGAGAATTGTTATGTCATTGCAAATGAAAATATATGTATGATCATATTTAATGATTGGTGACCAATAAGTGAAGTGTGAACAACATTCTCACCAAGAAAAGCATGTTGAAAGAAAGATATCAACTTGAATGATTGCTATAATTGATTTGTACAGACATCTTCTAATAAGGTGCACACTTCATTTTAATAAAGGTAAAATCAATATTATCAAAAAAGCTAGGAAACAGACTTTTAGACTTAACATTTAAAAACTGGAGATGTTATGATTGCCAATGAGATAACTATCCACCATAGACCAAATTATGTAAATTTGAGGAACTAAAGGTTGCCAAATGGCATTCAACAATGAGCAAAAATTAACAAGTCAAATATTGTAAACGGGTATTGCATAGCTACTGATAAAGAGAACTTTTTCCAGAAAGATGAATTTCCACAAAATGAGAATTAAGTTATGGATGTGCCATGTGTTAAAACATAAAAACAAGAGTGCACACGCTGAAATGTCTTGCCTTCTATACTGACCATTGCTTTAAGTTGATAGTCCTAAATATAAAGTTTTACTACAAGTATCACATTAACATTTATGATCCAAGAAAATGAGGTCAAGGTAGATAAACCAAGCCGGAAATACATGTACACCTCATAATACAAATAATCATGAACCATGAAAATGAGGTATACATATAGTATCTAAAAAAACAAAGTTAACCAGGAAAACTGAACATTGACCAATGAACCATGAAAATGAGGTGAAGGTCAGATGATACCTGCCAGACAGACATATACACCTTACAATCATTCCATACACCAAATATAGTTGACCTATTGCTTAAAGTTTAAGAAAAACAGACCAAAACACAAAAACTTAACATTGAGCAATGAACCATGAAAATGATGTCAAGGTCAAATAAAACCTCCCAGACTGACATGTACATCATACAATATTTCCATACACCAAATATAGTTGACCTATTGCATACAGTATTAGAAAAACAGACCAAAACACAAAAATTTAACTTTTACCACTGAACCATGAAAATGAGGTCAAGGTCAGATGACACCTGCCAGTTGGACATGTACACCTTACAATCATTACTTACACCAAATATAATACTATCTGAGATATGGTCTTGACCACAAAAATCACTGATCCATGAAATGAGGTCAATGTCAAGTGAAAACTGTCTGACAGGCATGAGGACCTTGCGAGCTACGCACATACCAAATATAGTTATCCTATTACTCATAATAAGAGAGAAATTAACATTACAAAAAATCTTAACTTTTTTTTTCAAGTAGTCACTGAACCATAAATGAGGTCAAGGACAATGGACATATGACAGACGGAAACTTCAAATCATAAGGAATCTATATACAAAGAATGAAGCATCAAGGTCTTTTACCTTCTGAAATATTAAGAAGTTAGTTAACGCTGTCATCGCCACCAGATCACTATCCCTATGTTGAGCTTTCTGCGACAGAAGTTGCAGGCTCGACAAAAATTAAGATAAGATTATTTTTTTCCCCATCATTAATGAAATTGAAATAGTGAAATAATAATTTGCTTTTAGCAGCCAATTTGGTTCAATTTTGTCAAAATAAGTTAAGAAACATCGCTGATGAATTATTCACTTGAAGTTTACGCTTGTACTGGGCATGTTAAATTGGAAAGAATGTCAACATTGAAAATGAAACATTTAGTGGACTGATTCGATCCACAAAAACTCATTCTTGTACAGGTAAAAGCTATGGTTATCATATTTTTTGAACCTATAAGAAATCAAACAGACCTAGAAAAATCCAATTGCATGTGTTCGCTATCTATTTATATCTAGATCTATATTTATGTTTATATTGGGTAATATGACAGTCGGCAGTCTTTGGAGGTCACCTTGATTGCTAATTAGATGACGTCTAGACTAAAATACACACGAAATGCTGATACATATAATCAAGTCAATGCATCATAAATTGTTGATTTTAGACTTTTTATTATTTGGATATATTGCAGGTATGGCAAAAAAATGCAATAGCCAAAATTAGACACAATTCATGGTTAACAATTGTTCAAAGAATAAACAACAGAAAACATTATTATATATTTATTGTTGTATATACATTATTGTACATGTTTATATTTACATATCATATATAGCAACCTTTCATTTTAAACAACTTAGACATGTAATTTATAAATTTGTAATGTTCAATATATTTCTCTTGACTTAGAATTTTGAAATTTTGTACAGAAACATGCTTGAATTTTTAGCAAATAAAGTTGAAATATACATCCTGTATGATTTGCTTGAATTAACTTTTTTTTAAGTTGTAATTTTAATGAACAGTCATTGTTTTCATATCTTCATTACATACAAAATATTAGAGAATTTTTTTTTACAGATATTGTTGTATTTCTTTTAAGTCTTGTCTATCTTTTTAAATCATTGCTATTTAACATCACACTCCTATGGCACTAAATTATAACAAAACAATGGTTAAAAAATATAACAAAATGGAATAATTATCATAGGAACACACATTAATGATTTTTACAGGACTTAAAACTTACATGGTAGATGATGACATGAAATAGAGCACCTTTAAAGGGCTTGTCAATAATCAAACTGTACACTGTATTCTCATGAGGTAGCATACATTAAAAATGCTGATTTAAAAAAAATACATCTCAAAATACTTATTCCCTAAAAACTTAAAATTCAAAACAAAACATACTATGTTCTAAAAAACCTTTAAAAAAATCCTAAACAAAATTCTTAACAACCCAATAAAATGACCAGTTTAACTGGACCTGTATTAAGGCAGACTTTTTTCCACAACTTAAAAGATTTTTTTCTTTAACATTTTATCTACATGACTATAAGTTTGACTCAATATAATTTTAACAATCATTAACATATTTATGTAAAACAATACATTAACAAAGAGTTATGAGTATTATATAGCACTAGGATATGTCCATTGAAAGACTTGTTGAACGACTAAGTTCCCTTCTTGGTCTCTTTTGACTTTTCTACACCAGGTGCCTTTAACTTGTCTTTACTTTCACCAATCTTTACAGCTTCAGAGGAAACAATATGGACCAATTTCTGAAAGCAGATTAACCACTGTCTTTTGTCATGCTCGTCAGCTGCTATCAATGTGTGTGACTGGCCTTTATCTTGTTCGCTGAATGACACTCGGAAGACATTTTTTACTGTAAAAAAAAGAAATAAAATTTAAACATAAAATTTTTTACAACTTTCTTAATGAAGTGTTCTCAATTGTAATTTCCTGGTGTCTCATAGCAAGAGTAAGCCTTAACTTACATAAGGCAATACAAAAAAAGTTTATTCAATTGTCAGAAAAAAATATAAATCTGAAATCTGACATTTGACCATTCAATTTCACATTTTGTTGTCTTGGGCCTTTTATAGCTTACTATACAGTATTTGGTATGCTAATTGTCAAAGGCCATTCAGTGACCTTCCCTTGTTTACATTACATCCTTTGGTCTTTTTGTAAAAGTTGTCTCGAAGGCAATCAAACCACATGTTGTTCGCTGGGGAGGTCTTTTGCTTTTGTGGTTTTAACAATGATTTTCCTCATTTTTATTTTGATTCATGAGAGTATTTATCCCTTGTATTTCTCTAATTTTAGCAGTACATGACTTATCAAACTGATTAACAAATAAAGGTAACCTGTTAAGTAAATTTTTTAAACTTAAGTTCTGGTGAAAATCACAGATACTTTGCTTTACTGCAAATTCAGAAATTTTTGTCAACTTTCATCATTGTGAAAATTGCATTTAGGTTATAAGAAACAAAAATTTCATTATAAATTATAATGGCATTATTGGAACGAAGCCTTTCCTGAAATCATAATAGCTAATCCAAATTTGTGTTCCTTGCTCAAAAATCACAATAAATCGAAAGTGAAAATTTCTGAATTTACAAAATATAAATTTGACAAAATCATTCAAAGAAAAGTCAAGATAACAGTTAATGTCTTACCTGTTTGTCCAGATCCAAAAGCACTCCTGAATGAACCCATCTTGACTTCCCCATCTTTCAGGTCAGTAACAACCAGTTGGTCTACAGGGATAGGCTGTCTGTACACTTGGAAAGTCTGTTGTCCACTCTGGCTATTGAGTCTTGTCACCACCAACACCTCATCAAACAGGAAAACATGTAGTTTCTGTAAAAATAAATATAAAGAATACATTATTCTGAATAATAGGTAAGACACATGTAATCACAAACACTTAAAATTCATGAACCATGAGTCAGGTGAACCCTGTCTGATAGACATGTATACCTTGCAATGATTCTATATACCATATATTCCCTTATATTTGTAACAACTGAAAAAAATTATGCGATTAATCAAAAAAAATATATAAATGTTTTTTAGGCAGTCACTGAACATATGCCAGATAAAATCATCAGACAATAAGGCATTTTCGACCTTAAAAAGCTTTTACAATTTTTTTATGCCATCATATTATTTTCTCTATGCTTTGCATTCTGCAATGAATATCTGTGACATTTCATACATAAATTTTGATGATTTAAAATTAAACATATAGTAAAGACACCTTATTATTGTTGAAGACTGTACAATACTCTCTAGATGTCTTCTTGGTATTTCTGTTGTTAGGGTTGCTGTATATTTGCTGTGTACCCCACATCTCATTTTATTTATTATTTATATAACATACTCTATCTTTTATTCAATGATAACAAAAAAAACATAATTATCTTTAATAGCAAAATCTACTTACACTGCCTTTGTTATTCTTCAGTGAACCACTACACACCAAAGTTGTAGAATCTTCTAATGACTGGCATGTCTGAAACACACAAAGTATTGTTATACATAGATGTTTTTCCATACAAATAATATATTTTAACCTGATTATAAATGTTCAACTGTCCTCAATATGAATTAAAAAAAAGATCTGAAATTACTCAATTTAGACAACTTAAAAGCACAAATATTCCTAATAAGCAGAAATGTATAAAATTATATTTTTTTATTCAATCATAATTGGTGTTTACATTCAGTAAAGATGTTCTTGTTCTTCAGCAATATGTTGAATTATTTCAAGATGGAATAATTGTATTCATTACTACCTGAAGCATTCAAATGTAAATTTTTGTTAATTTTTTTTATCCATGACTACTTTTGGTATTTTTATAAAATTTTAACTATTATCAACTGACACAATGACTGAGGAGACCCCATCCCTTCCCAAAAAAGAAAATTAAAAAAAAAAGAAAAGTAAAAGAATTTTCTTTGATGTAACATGAATAAAACAGAAAAAGTTTTGTCAAGAGTATTTTGACAACAAAATTACATATATTAATAAATATTTGTTATTCATCTAACAATATATTTGTTGATTTCTTTTTACAAGAATCTGTTACAAAAAATATATAAAACTTTAATCATTGTTACCTCTTCTTCATAAATGAAGTTGATCTTGGCTCTGAAGTAGTTACACTTGGCTTTACCCATCTCTCTGTCAGCTTCAGCAATCACATTCTCTGCCAACTTGATCTGCAATATAAATTAAATTATAAAATAAAATTTCAAGTATTGAAATCTAATTTAACTTTATATTCATACATGATTTAAACAATTGAATTTTAAGATTATATACCTTGTTTAAAACACTCGTTTTTTACTTTGTTGTTTTTAAGGGAGGTTAATGTTATCATCTGACAGCATTTCCAAATTTGAAAACTTTACATGTGTTAAATATTCAAGAAATTCTGATTTACAGTGAATTTGACCCTAGTAAACAAAATTCTATGAGAGTGTAAAATAGCAAGCTGCTGGGATGGACTTTTTCATTTCCACAAGAATTTTCAATAATGACAAACATGCACTTAAAGGTAACTACTTGAAAAATTTCAAATATCATATTCATTTTTTTGTGTTTAGTTTAAAATACATATATAAAGCAAGAAGACTTTACATCAGGTTTATGTAAATCATTGAATGGCATAGATCTTAAGACTGTCAAACTTTTAAAAACTCTCTCTCCCGAAAAATCATTATTATAATAAAACCTCATAACAAGAAGTCAAGCAATTTATATGTTCAACTTACAGCTTCTGCCAAATTCTTATTGTCTTCCTCATCTAGAACAGATACCTGTAAAAATAAATATATTACTTTAAATGACATTTTAATAATTGATAGTGACAAGATAATATTTAATTTAAGATTTACAATTATTTTCAAATCCATCTATCATTGTTAATATTGTGTTTATAAGATTTAATATGTATACTTGTCATTGGTTCATGTCTGTCATATTTGTTTTTTCATAAATTGTTTTGTAATAAATTAGGGCGTTAGTTTTCACAATTGAATTGTTTCATATTTTTCATGTCGGGGCCTTTTATAGCCGACTATACGGTATGGGTTTTTCTCATTGTTGAAGGCCGTACGGTTGTCTATAATTGCTTAAATCACTTCATTTGAACTCGGGGAGAGTTGTCTCATTGGCAATCATACCACCTCTCCTTATCTTTATATTGAATATTATGAAAACAATTGGTAAAATCAATGTTTTTCAAAAGTAAAAATATACAAGTAGCATTTTTCTAAATAATCATATATATGAAAGTTTTTATCCATAGACTTTATTTCAACTGTCAGAGCAAGTTTAATCAAAACCAAAAAATTATCAACATCAAAATGTTTTGAATTTATTTAATACACAATATTTAGTTTGAGGTGATAAGATATACTATTTGAACACTTACATATTTCTGGATAGTCTTCATCAGAAGTGGATACTTGACAAATTTTCCTCTAGCACCATCTGTAAAACAAGAATTGTTCTGTTAGTATATAACAAATATTACTACAGAAACGAAATAAAGGCACACACTCAGATTGCTGCCAAAAATCAGATTTCTCAATCTCCAAAAAAAAGGATAATATTTCAGTGTATAATTAAAAACAAAAAATGGTTTCAAAGTTAGGCAGAATACAATTTTTCTTCAAGGAGAGAGACTTGGTCAACAAGAAGGAGTGACAGTTTCACATATTTTCAATTAAGGAAGCCCTTATTCGTTCATCTAGAATTAAAAATCATTTTTCAAATTATAAGTACAAATTCTAGGTTTTATCTTTGTCCTTATAATCAATTAAATACATTTTGCTTCTAAAATTTCTCAGAACATAATCCGTACCTGCCACAATCAACAAATTCTATTTCTGTAGACAATTACAACATAAAAACACATTTGTGTAACATTGAAATTAAAAATTGGTTAGGAAATTCAGTCAGGAAAAAAAGTAGGTCATTAAAAATATTCAATATGAAAAATAATTCCAACAAAAAATGAACAGATTTGTCTTTTTAAACAATTTGAACAAATATGATGGTTTTTTATTCATGAGATTATATTTTTAACTGTTTTGGTTACATCAGTGAAAATCTGTTGAATGCAGATGAACATAATAGTGTGTCCATCAAATATAAGCTGATATATTTTGAGATTTATTATTTGTGAGAAAAGTCTGAAACTTATAAATTATCAAACCAACTATAGATATTTCTTTTGTTAAAAGTCTAATACAATATATTTTCAACTGAATACCTATATAATTCTTACAAAAAATTTCCAGGGAAAATGATTGAAAGGCTTTTTAAGCTTTTATAGTGTAGATCATACATTGTAATTAAAAATATATTCTTTTTCTAAATTACAAAATTCCATTTAAAATGTATACAGAGTCCCTGCCAATCCTTTGATAAAGCTTTTCAAACAATAGTCCAATTAATATTGATTGAATGCTTGATTGTTGGTTGCTTTTTATCCAGTGGCAAATATTTCATGCATGTTTCGGGATGAGAACAAATTAACAATAAAACAATAGGTAGGTCTTGCAATAGAGAACATTCCGGATGATGGTCCTGGACATTTTGACTGCCACTGGAAAATAACGGTATATTGGACAAGGACAGAAATTTAGCTTGGCAACAGATCACCTACAGACCCCTTAAAGAGTTGGTTCTTATTGTGCACAGAACATGATTTAATTTTGAAATTAAGAATTTATTTCAAATAAGACAATTTACCTAGTAAGGTCCACAGGTCAAGTTTCCTGCTGAATGGAGAGTCTTGACACCTTTGTAAGAAATCTTCTACTGCTTCGTCGTTCTTCTTCTCATCTAACAAGGCTTTCCCAAACACTTGATTGGCACAGAAGGATATATAGTGATGCAAATTAGGAACCTGTAAACAATATCAAAATAATGAATATTTTTCATATTCTTCAAACAAACGACCGTGCAAGACCTTCATGAGTATTCAAGGTCGTTTAAGATGCCTGTTCTTTGCTTACAATTAGGTGACTTCTACGTGTCAATTGTGGGTTAGTTGACATTTACTTCATACATGTAACTCTCGTTATGACTATTATATTTCTTATAAATACACTGGTATTTTTTTTTCATATTTTGTGGTCAGTAATTATATATTTTATGCATTCTTTCAAATGTCATTTAACTAATTAGTTTTATATAAACTTCTTAAAAAAAAAGGAAATTTGTCCATTTTTACATTGGTACCTAAATGAATAAACTGTATTAAATAATTCTATGGTACAATTCTTATAATTAAACACTGATATAACAAAGCTTGCTGTTTAATAGCATAAATTTACTAGCATGCAAATACCAAATTTCTTGTTAAATTCGTTAATCGATTGCCTCTCTCTTTTAGTTTAATCTTATGGTAATCTAACTTTCAGTTTAATCTTATGGTAATCTATCTTTCAGTTTAATTTTATGGTAATCTATCTTTAAGTTTTTAAAACTTACCCATTCTTTTAAGAGCTCACCAACACACTGTGTAGTACCATCTGGTAACCTCTGGTTCTGGAGTCTGTTACACAAGTCTGAAAAATCACAAATACATACAATACTCCTATAAATTTTCTTCAAATTGAAGATATAAAGCAAGTCATGACACTAAAACTTTGATAAAAAACACAGGTTACTTATGTTTACAGAATATAGTTAATTGTGTCATCATGTACTGAAACTGTCCAGTTTATTGGCACTAGAGTATCAAACAGTCTGTTTATCAACTGATAATATTGTTTTTTTTCGCCCTTAAAAAGTGGATGTATTCACCTTTTCTCTTTCTTTACCCTTCCAGTAATACATATATCAAAATCAAGGTACCCTTTCTGAAGCATACCCTCAAGATAAGTATTTTTTTGCAGTATGGTAACTAACTCATGCTGTTTTCTTTGGGTTGATGTCTAACTGACATTTACCCAACATCCATCTCACTTAATCATAATAACCGGTATAAACCAACCTTCATGTATTGGAATCAGCTCATCAATGGGACCAAATATCTGCTTCAGTTCACCATCTGACAACAACTGTAGCTTCTTCAAGGAATCATGATAAGTCTGTTATAAATAAAACTGTTATTAATCATAGAACAAAAGGCATATTTCATAGAAACTGACAAAATGCAATAGTTAAACTTTTGATATGTGTTGAAGGCCTCACTCTGACTTTGGGATTGTTTTTATTATAAATGATCTAATTGGTATTCATAAATATCTCCTAATAAGTTTTGAACTCTTTAATGTAATACAATAAATTCAATAAAACTTAAAACTAAAAAGAATTATATTGTGTCCTGTTCTGCTTTCTAATTACATAACATGAAAACTTTAATTGCATGTCATCTGTGATGTAATCTTACCTTTTTAACAATGTTGAGGTCCTCTACCAGATCATTTTCACTTTGATATAGCTCGTAAATTGCCTGAAAGGAAGAAAATGTTTAAATGATAACATTGCCATTATTGTTCTCTTGGTCTTATTTAGAAAAAAGTATTCACCATATATATTAAAATCTTTTATCAATATATTTTATTTTTACATGTTCCCAATTAAATTACTCTCTGTATTTAGAAAACACACTGGGTAAAGTTCATAAAGGACAAATTGTATCATCAGTCTACCTTAGATTTCATAAATTCTTTCTGTTCTCCCTGGATATTTTTTGTTAAATTTAAATTTTCATTTTATATTTTCAAATATTTTTAGTTGCTGCTAGTTTGAATAACCATCTGTAAAAATGCAGTTAAACAGCTCAATACAATAAGAACAAGAAAGAAAGTACAAACAAAATTAAATACTGATTTCTATATAAGCATCTGTTATTTTTTATGCAACTGACATTAAAATATTACGTGATGTCATTAGCACCAAGGAAAAGCTAGAAACATCTTCCAGATTAATCATGATATTTCATTGCTTAATAAAACTTGGTAGGTAATTAACAAATCTCTTTAATTCTTACCTCTTGTCTTTTGATGTCTCTGTGACTAAGTTCTGTTGGAAGGTTGCCGACAGTTGTACAAATCATGTCACTCCAGGTCCGACTAAGTCTTCTTTTCGCCGGGGAAGGTTGAGGTGCTTTGTAGGGAGTAACATTGACCTTGTTTGCTGGTGATGGTGGAACCTTGAAACTGATGGAACGCTGGTAAAAGTAAAATATCAAAGTTATCACTAATTAGAAATGTATAAGATTTGGACGAGCCATTGTTAAAACAATATTATTGCATATAAGTTATGAAAATGAACATCAAGCATAAACTATTGGTTTAGTCAATAAAGATTCCAGAACTTTGTAGTACTATCAAAAACTCTCAGACTGTGTTGTTGATGTATGAAGAATCAGTAAAAAAACACAAAAGGAACCAGAGAAACTGATCCCTCCAAGGTTCTCAAAATTACTCAAGTATTTATTTGTAGGTCATATTGACCTTGATTAAATAGACATGTTTTGTACTTTACCCACAACCAATTTTTGAATACTACATTTGAATATGTGTAAAACATCGTTAAAGAGACAGGTCAATCTTTTTATGTAATTTGAAAGGATTTTTCAAGAGTATGCCCCATGGATATTACATTTTACATATTTTACATATTAGGTTACATTCATTTAAAATAATCTGTTTCAAAAACACACACACAAAAAAAGATTTTCAACTAAAGACCATTTGGAATAGCATAATTCTAATATTTCAACATTTTGATACAAAAACACAACAAATGATTTCAATTTCAATGAACTTTAATGCAAACAAAAACATATATTTTCAGGTGGGTTTTGCACTAAACCAAGAAACAAACAGTGATGTTAAATTAATAAAATTTCTCAAATGACTATTGTTTTCTATGACTTAATCCTCAAGTGTTTATGTTCAACTCTAAAGTTTACTTCAATACAAAGAGAAACGAGAATAACAAACTATAAAAAGTAGGTATACAAAGCATGTTTTTTTAAGAAAGTGTTGGCTTTAAATAAATGTTTACAGAAGTAAAGCCGACAAAAGAAAACAGTCTCTTATGCTTATGTCATTTCTGTATAATTAAAAGTCAATATTTGGAGTAAAAGTTGCTTTATCACATGTTTATGAATCATGCTTGATGAGATTCAACAGTTTCTATGATTATACACAGGGGTATGGTATGTACAAATGGCTACATCAAATATATCTCTAAAACAGATGCTTTGTTCTCAAGTGTTCACAAACACACACTAAAGCTGCACTCGAACATATAAATCTTGAGGTTTATGACTTCACTTAAATATCTATAGCAAAAAATTACATCACTTCTCAAGTAGAAGTCCAATGACAACTTTCAGTTGTTAACTTCTGACATTTGGTCTTTAGTGAAGACATGTCTCCTTGAAAATAATACCACATTATCTTATTTTCTTCAAAATTTACGGTCAAAAGGCTTGACCCATCATTTTGAGAATTTATTTTTGGGTCTATGGATGACCCTGCTGACTGCTGTTAATTTCTTAAAACACTTAAAATCTAAGCAAGTTATAGTGTACCAATTAAGCACTGATGTTATTTTTATCAAAATCGTTCTGACTCTTTATGGGAATATATAGATAGTTTTCATTGGATGTAATTTGCGTTAAAGCTATTTCCCGTTGTTGTCAAAATGGATGGAAATATGCCCAAACTCATTCATATATCAACAAATTTAATTTACTATAATGACGCTAGACTTTAGAATAAGTTGAAAAAATATTTCATTAGTTATTGCTACAATCAGGCTTCATTTTCACAAATGTTAACCGTAATAGTTGCAAAGATCATGAAAAATGCAAAACTTTCAGAAAATAACGGCATTAAAAAATGAAACGTTCGTCAGTATTCTGATACACTATGGTTCACCATTTTACACAACTGAGAATTTCTGTCAATTAAGTAACTACAATAAATCAACAATCATTTTATTTCAGGAATTAAGCATTATGACTACCTTGAACCTTCCAAATAAACTGTTTTAGTCTGAGAAAATAATACATTTTGATATGCAAGCACAATGAGTGTTAACTTAGAGCAGAATTGAAGAAAAAAATCTGACTAGCTGCTAATGTATTTTAAATTTCTTACATAATTTGCCTCCTGAAATTTATACAGAATGTTGATCACACAATATTATTATGTAATTCATTTTTAAAAACAATATCTTTATAATTACCAAATTATAAAATCGTGTGGCTTTGATTATCAATTTTTTATTGTTATTTGCACTCTTAACAGGTTAAAAATAAATATCCGCAACAAAAATATACTCTGAAGGTCATTACCCTAAAAGTGATTCAAATTGACTAGATATATTACCTACCAGTAGTTACATGTTACATATCTTATGCCAAGGGGTGTTTATCATTCAAACTTCTCCATGGGAAAGATATTCAATAGTATAGTTGTTTTTCAACCAAAAATAACTTTAAATTATCACATTATGTCTAAACTACAAAATTTTGATCAACTTCATTATTTTAACTCAATGAAATAATCTTGAATTCAGCCAATTATTATTTTGTAAGTTACAGAGAAACTGATTCTTAAAATTATGTTTTCTATGTCTTATCATGTTTTTAATTTTACCAAATGTTAAGCCTATTAATTGACCCCGACAACAGTTTAAGCAAGACAGTGACAGGATTTAAAAACATAAATCATTTTACATTAGTTATTTTTATAGCATTTTTTTTCAACTTCCTCAGTAAAAGTTTAAGCAATAGATTTTGATCTCGTTTGGGCAAAAACATTTTACTACACATTTATTTTGTTTGAACTCAAGTTGAAGAAAGTAGAAAACCATGATAAAAGATTTACACATAAATTTAATGCAGATATTAATCGATCCATTTTTCCAAAAATTATGGCTATTCTTTTAATTCTAATCTATATTATTTTAGTTCCACCCTAAACATGTTTTAATCATGACAATATGACATTACTTCCTCTAAACAGATTAGATCAACTAAAATGTATTGATAGTTATGTCAACTAAATGAGATAAAAATCAATCAAATAAACTAATTAATCTCACTCATAACCCAGTCTTATTAAAGCTAAAAGACCATGCATAAGTTTTTTTCATGTTATCAAATAAAAATCAGCTTACCTGGAATGTTTCTGAACCCTTTTTGGCCGACTTGGAAGGAGAAAGCAGGTTGGCAATTGAAGATACCCTCAGTAATGATTTACGACTCTTTTTCTGCAAGACAATAAAACACATGTGAAAATGGTCATTTATCCGTAACTAAGGCTAATTACAAATCTCATATGTACAGCCAATCTGATCAGATGAAAGGATAATGATGTTAATAACATGTCATGTTAGCTTTAATCCCCTGGTACTTGGTAAAACAGTTGTTATATATAACAGTGATGCAGTGCATTTCAGATCAATATCTATTTTATTAATACAGCACCATCAAGAATTTACAAGTATGCAGAGAAAAACCTTAAATATTGATTTGGCATTTATAATAGCAGTAATACTGCAAACTTATTTATTGATAATCAAAAGTCTGGTGGTCTGAAGATTGATTTGTTACTTTGTGGGTCCCATTCAAGGAAACTGTGTGTGAATCATTGAGCAACTACTATATGTAGTAAAACAATCATTTGAGAAAGAATTTTAAACTTCTTGGCTATTTATAATGAAATATAAGGATCATTGATTATGTAAATAAAGCAATAAAATTCAACATTTAGACAATTAAAAAAAATCTTTAAAATCTTTTTAAAGAGTTGACCCTTATTTGCATGTACTTGAATGTGTATGAAATGTTTGCTACAGGATATTTAACAAACAATTATTGTCCATGTTGTCAGCTAATAAATTTCCTATTACAAATTTTTTTACATTTCTAATACAACAAAGAAATAAAAAAAAAATATATAAGTTAATTAACAATTACCTGGTTAGGATTAAAATCCAATAAACAATATTTTGCACTACAACTTGCTTGAACAACAAATTGTTTGCAAAATTGTATTCCTTTTTTTACATCAGCTGTTTCCATAACATATAGGCCCAAAAAACCTTCATATCTTTAACATGACTAAGACATTAAAGAAGTAAGGAAATTGACATGTAGGTATACATGAGTCACATGTTTTACCTATAAATACAGGTATTTTGATCTTCATACCTACTATCAAAAAGCAATTTGTTTATTGTTTTCATCTTGTGGGAGGATTATGCCTTTAAATTGATATTTATTCTTTTTGTGTTGATAGGTGCAAACTAATACATTACATAAACAATTAACATCCTTTACTTGTTAGAAGAAAACACTTAATAAGTATTACATAACAACTTTTGGCTTTAAACTAGAATTTAACTGTCAGACAAAAAAACGTAATAAGTGTCTGTTCTGTGTAATTGAAAATATTCCTTCTGACAAACAACAATTAATTAACCATTGAGTCTGCAAGTAACATGTTGTTTTTTAATTAGAAACATATTTATTTATTTACAAATGCTACACTTTTTTATCAATGATGTAATAAAATATTATGTTTGTCTTTTCTGTTTACCAAGGTTTTTAACGCCTTGTCATTATCAGTAACAGCTACAAGCATTTCGAAAGTAATCAACTAAAAATTATCATTATAGATTATTGTGTATGATTATTTTTATACATTGAGCATTTTGAGAGTATTTTATTATCACATTTTTTTTGGTGGGGGGTTACATGATGAAGTTACCCCTTATAATTAAATCACAAGGCTAATATAAAAATCAATGAAAAGGAGATGTAATGACACAATTAATCCCAAGATGGAGATTCTAATTATATAACATGACAATTTTCATCATTTTACTTATTGTTTCTTTAATTGACTGGTTGGTAATACTTCATAAAATCTTTTATTCTCACATGTAGCATTGTGCAAATACAGAAATTATTCACATATCTCAACCTAGATAAGACCCTGATTAGGCTGAAAACGACATAGTTTAAATGATAAATTTCAGATTGATAAAATTCATGAGTTATCTCCCATTGTTCATATCATTTTTACAATAAAATCAGACAATTGAACAAATTAATTACGAAAATGCTAATGAATTAAGTGTTATCATACCTTGACTGTTACATCTAAACTCTGAACACTTATGGTGTCTTCATCAGCAGTCTTTCTCTTTCTTTTGCGCTGGAAAAAATAATTTATCATGTCATCATAATAATCCACACAACCAGTGTTGTTTTCCCAGTATGTTACTTTATAAAACAGGTAGTTGTTGAGTAAATCATTGTTTATATATATAAGTATAATTAAGTCTTCTGTTACTGTCATCTTGCTCTAATAATATTGAGCAACATTTATTTATGTGTCATGTTCAATTAATTACAACTAGATTTTGGCACTGATATAATCATGATCTTTGACATATAAACATACTTATTCCTATATCCCTACTCTTACCACATTTTCCCCAGTCAAAGTATTATATGCACTTCGAGTTTTCCCCTTTGATATAAATTGGAACAAAATATAATTAAATACCCATGTTTGGGACTTCCATATCAATTCTTTTTTTTAGTGCCAAAGATGCCAGTAGTTAAAAGTTTCCCTAGATGGAACAAATTGTTAACTATCAATCAGTTTCATATTGAAATATGCGTAAATATCATATAACTGTATGTTTCCTAGCTTAAAAAATATCAACTTCTATAGATATACTTACCAGTACAGGAAAGTCAAAGCTGGCTAGACCAATGATAGAGTGTCTTCTAGAACTCTTCACATCTTTAATTTCTGGTATTCTGTAAAAAAATAATATCTAACATACAACTACATTTTATGAATTACCAAATATTAGAAATGATAAATAAGTGTAAAAGTTATATTTTCATATTTTAACCAATAGGTTTATTCTATTTTACTCATTTTTTTTAATTTTGTTTACTAAATTTAGTCAAAAAAAATGTATGAAAAAATATCATTTAGAGATTTTTTATTACTACAAAGTACAAAAGCACTGTTTTTTTTAATGACAATTACATATATTTTCCAGAAAATTGTTTGCCTGATTAACACAATTATTGATGGTGAAAAAGTAATGACAACACTGTCACAATGTGTCTTCATTTAGATAAAAACATTTTGGGGTAAGTTTTAAGTTGAACAATTATTATGATACTACCTTCTTTGGATTTAATACAAAATAGTCCTTGGATATCATTTTTTATAATATCCTTGTTATTAGCCATATATGTATGTAAAATAACCTACTCTTCCATAATGAAAGGATCTCTTTGTAAAATATCACATGTAAATCTCTCAGAACTTTCAGGACTAAATGAGACATGGAGTGGAGGAGAAGCCATTTTGAGTATCTAATTGTTTTGACAGCTCTTTTACTCAAGCTGTCTTATATAAACTTCCTTTTATCTTTTTACAAGATCAAAGTATTATTTAAATGCTTGTCACATCTGTGTAGGCTTGGACACACCCACTTTGACAAACACTTCCCTAATTATGGGATGACATTTGACCTTTGGCAAAAAGGATCAACACCTAATTATTTTTTATTTAATCAATTATGAAAATTACTAACAAAAGAATAGATAATTGGCTTGGATAATTGTCACTTTTGTTCATAATCAAAATTTCAATAAAATAAATATTATCTCAAAATCTGACAAAAACAACTTAAGGCATATAATGATATGTCAACAAATAGTAAAGAAATAATAATAAATTGTTGACAGTGACATGTGTTTTTAATAGAATTTTATTAGTTAAAAAACAACAAATAACAAACAACCAATATTCAGATACAAGATAATGTCTTGAAAATTAATCCACAAAACTTAATAAATATTAGAAAGAATACAACTACAAGGAAAATTGTATATACTGTCAATGGGAGGCAGAATGGACCAACATTATTTTTCAAATGAAAAAAATCTGCCAGAATGAACAATAATAATGCAATATAGAATTTTTTGGAATTCTTAAGGATTATATCACCACTGAAGAAATCAGGATGCTAGTACAAAATAACAAGATTCCTTAGCAAACACTAATTCATTATAAAGTATGTATGATTTGGTAAAGTGTGTATATGTGTGAATCTCAATAGTCATAAAATAATGAAGCCAAAAGTTATAATATTCTAAAATAATAATATTGTATAAAGTAAGAGTTAACTGACAATTTAAATTTCCTATGTATCTGTTATAAATTTCGAGATAATAATAGGCAAAAATGAAAACAGGGGAAAATCACCATCAAAGGGCAATAAGGAGTAGATCGACAATTTAAATCATGCCTACTTATTTGTGGATCTTGTTTTACTGATCATTTTTGCTATTTAAAGTTTGTGTCAATCTAATATAAATTTCAAGATAATAGACAGAAATGAAAAAAAATTGGGAAAAATTGTCATTATAGCAATAAAAGCAATAAGAAGTTGTCTGACAGTTTTGATGTCAATAGACAGAAGTAAATCTCATCATTCTGAAAATCTTTGCCCAGTCAGATGTTCTCTATCAATAGTGGTTTTCAAGAGACAAAAGACAAAAGTTTGTCAGTAAGCAGGGTCATCAGACAGATTTATTAAACTTCCCACCCAATGATGATTGTGGCCAAGTTTGGTTAAATTTGGACTTGTTTCAGTGGATGTGATCTTTGTAAAAGTTAACTAACAGACTACAGAAGCCAAGTGATGGCAAAAGTGAACTTAGAAACTTGGACCAGATGAGCTAAAAAATGGTAATGCTTTAGTTCACTCACCTCAAATGGTAGGAAAAAATCAAAATTATGATGATGAGTTCTTCAAATGCTATAGAACTTTTATCAACTAGGAAAATATCTTTTCGCAAAGGAATTTTAAAACATAATGACATTATATGCAAATAAAAAACAAGTGACATTTCCCATTATAGATAATTTAAAATGAATTAATTCAAAACATGCTAGCCTATCTGACATAATGACTGAAAAAGGAAAAAAAGTTTATTCATTAATTACTTTTACATGCATTCAAAATGTTTTAAAAAAATTAGAAATTTTATCTGTAATTACTTTTTTGTTGTAATCTCAGTACAGACAATTGTAACATTTTTTATACAAAAGCTTATGGAAGAGTGATAATGTATGTTAAACAGGATGACCTCTTAATTACAAACTGTCTAAAACTGAATCACTATCATTTGAAACCAGTGGCAGATCCATGGGGGGTTCCAACCTCTGGGGGTAGGAACCCCCCTTTTTTGACGATCAATTCATTTGAATGGGGACATATAGTTGGAACCCCCCCCCCCTTTATCCCTTTTTAACAATGGCTGGATCCGCCCCTGGAAACAAACTGAGAGGAATTATATAAAAAGGAAGGAGCTTGGATGACTAATTATACATAAATATTGCTGGACAGCTTTAATTGAATAAATGGAGAAATTGAGAGACTTCCATAGATCTACAACCAAGACAAAATTCCCAAATTATATAAATGACAAACAAAAAACAGCAGTTTTTAATTTTTAACAGCAGACAAACAAGGGCATGTATACCTCACTTGACAGAAAATTCCATGCTCAGTAGGTTAAACAAACTCAAAAGAATCTCCCAACAAAAAATTAATGCCTAGGAGATCTGAAAATCTCTTACAACATGTACAAGGTCCACATGGTACATGTACATTGCAACATTATGAAGTTCAAGATCTAATTTCAACAAGAGATGATCATGAGCTGTCAAATTGACAGCAATCTGGGTTTTCTGAACTTTGCAAGTAACCATTGATGAACCTAAAAGGGCAGTGAGTACATATGAGAGTGAAGTATTATAGTGTATGGTGCTTTCAGACTTGTTTGACTTGACAGAATCTGTGTGTATATAAATAAGATGTGGTACATTGTATGGTGCCAATGAGACAACTCCCCTCCAGAAACCAAATGACATAGAAGTTAACAACTATAGGTGACTGTACGACTTAACTTTAACTGTCTTTAAGTGCAATTTTCAAATCTATCATGGACCATAACTCCTGAACGACAATAGTGAGAATAGTCAAAATCGAACTTGAGCTCCATTTTTTCATCAGTAATAACGTATTAAAATTTGAAAAGTATTTGTATAACAGTTCAAAAGTCGTTGCACTGAAGTTACATAAATTGTCATTTCTCAATCTATCAAACACCATAACTCTTGAAAGGCAAAAGTGAAAATTTACAATATCCTACTTGACCCCAATTTTTAAAACAGTAACAACATATTTAAATTAGTTAAGCATTGGTTGAGCGGTTAATAAGTAATTGCACAGAAACTGCTGGAAGCTGCCATCATTTCTTTACCATCATTTTTCAACATAGTAATTACTACATGTACTATAAAATAAACTGTTGACACAGAGATATGTCTTGCCTTTTGGCATAAAATTCAGAAAAAAACAATCTGATGGACAGCAACATTGTCAAAGTCACCTAGGGGCCATGGCCCCAAAATAGTCGTCAAACTGATCTTCTGATAGTTTTTGCAACATAGTACAAAATATCATCGATTTATCACAAGTAGTTCCTATCAAACTACCTAAAAAGTAGAAAACTTAAATTTGAAAATTGGTAATTAATTCATACCCCATGACTTAGGGGACAGGGCCCCAAAAAAATGTTGTCAAACTGATATGCACTGATTGTAATGCAACTTCATACAAAATATCATTGATCTATCACAAGTAGTTCTTATCAAACTAGCTTACATGTAGGCAGAAAACTTACCAATTGTTGACGCCATCGACGACAACATCATAGTCTCCGGAAAAGTAATACATATGTCATTAGACTTATGTACAATGATGTAGGTTATATTTAAATTTTGTACAGGATCAGAATATCTTGATGTCTGAATGATCCGGTGATGTTACCAAATAGGAGATAGACTTATGTACCATATACATGTACATGGTAAGATGTGTTTTCAATCACAAGTAGTTCTTATCAAACTAGCTTACATGTAGGCAGAAAACTTAACAATTGTTGATGCCATCGACGACAACATCATAGTCTCTGGAAAAGTAATACATATGTCATTAGACTTATGTACAATGATGTAGGTTATATTTAAATTTTGTACAGGATCAGAATATCTTGATGTTTGAATGATCCTGTGATGTTACCAAATAGGAGATAGACTTATGTACCATATACATGTACATGGTAAGATGTGTTTTCAATGTATTTTTAGTTTACTGAATTTTCTGTGTTTGTCTATTTTTTTAGTTCCGTACATGTACTGTTTGTGTCTTGTGAATAGTAGTTACTTGTATGTCAATAATTATATGTAAACATTATAGAAATAGTTCATTCATAAATAAATGAATGATTAGCGTAATATTATTGGACAAAATGTATCAATTAATCCTGACTTGGTTATCATGGCCATGTTGGTATATAATTGAGTTTGATTGGATTTATACATTTATTATGTATACACTTTAAGGCGAAGTGTACGTAATTAACTACTCCACAGAATTTTTAAAAATTTTACATATGGATTCTGCTTGGAAAATTACATCAGACAATAAAATAAAACTAGAGGCTCTAAAGAGCCTGTGTCGCTCACCTTGGTCTATGTGCATATTAAACAAAGGACACAGATGGATTCATGACAAAATTGTGTTTTGGTGATGGTGATGTGTTTGTAGATCTTACTTTACTGAACATTCTTGCTCCTTACTATTATCTCTATCTATAATGAACTTGGCCCAGTAGTTACAGTGGAAAATACTTTGTAAAAATTTACAAAAATTTACAAAATTTAT